ATCCTGGGGGCTGTTGCTACGAGGTCGAAGCCAGAAATTAAATCAGTCAACCTTGAGTGTACAAAAGGTGGCTGGAGGGTTTGTGAGGGGGAAGTGAATAAGAAGACAACAAAAGATGACTAAGAGAACATTAATTGAAGGTCTAGAGATCTTAACTTGGGAGACAGTCCTTCCTTCACTTGGCTGAGAGAAAACTGGGGTCCAGGAAGGAAAGGGTGTGGAGCCAGAACTATCCTTGCCAATCAATCCCTTTCTTTTCCTACCAGACCATGTAACAAGGCTGGCCTGATTGGCCAGTTTTTCTAATGACTGTTAGTGGCAGATTCTGACTGGTTAGCAGCCTCCCTGCCCAGTGGTGATGAAAAAATGAGATTGATCTTTTCTTTCTTAGGATTGGTTAACAACCCTCAGGGGGCTCCGGGGCTCATTTTAATTGACTGGATAGGCTATGAGGGAGGTGCAGCACCTCTCATACAGAAATTCTGAGTATTCTTTTCCATAAAGGTCACCAAGAAAGAGTCTTGATCGGCTTACGTGTTTGTCTTTGCAAGGGGGGAAGCATAGCAGCTTCGAGAAGAAAAATCAAAGGAATCATGCAGGCATGTCACGGTTCAATTTGAAAATCCAACCATAGGAAGGGATTCACAGAGAGGAACATAAGAGACATGTAAAAAGAGAGAGGCTAGGACAGAGAAATGCACAGGAAAGTAAAATTGCCAGAGAGAAGATGAAAGGTTTGAATAATTTGTTTTTCATTCCCGATGGGTTGATGAGTAGATGAGAATGATGATGTTTTTCATTCCTGATGAGATGAGGCTACTTTATGATGCATTTTGCTGGATGCACATGTTGCCAGCAACTAGTGTAGAAACACCTGTTCTGGAGGTAGGACTAATCTTAGTCCTGCTACTAACTAGCTGAGTAACTGATAGTTACTTCATCTCTTAAAGCTCCAGTTTCCTTATCTGGAGAAATCAGTGAGAGAAGTAAGTGATATTTGAGGTTCCATTCAGTTTTATTTTTGTAGGATTCTCTTTCTTTTGGCTAAACAGGTAAGTTTTGCAAGTTGCAGTAGTATTTACACTGCTAATAAGAATTAGTCTTAGGTCTTGAGTTCCTCTATTTGTTTGTGACTGTTAATTTTCAATTTCCTGAGGGTGGAGGGCACTGATTGATGGATTTTCTCCAATTTGTTGAATCAGTTCCCTGGGATGGCAGGATTGTGAGCCAGCAGCAAATCGCCATACTCCTGGACAAAAATAATAGAAGATGGAGGAAAGGAAAGGATTATTAGGCTGCTAAGGGAGAGATTGTTGCTAGGGCTGGTGGCAGAAAGATTGCTTAACAAGTTTTTGCTGGGGAAAAAATAAGTTCCTTTGAATTTGTGCATGTGTACATATTTATCTAGAAGCCATGATTAAATATCCATGTGAACAGATTTGGTCTCTGCCATTTGGTGGCTCCCAAGTCAAGGAACACAAGCAGGCAAAACAGGAAATAAAAGTCATTGTGATATATTGTGAAGAGCTAAGGACAGCAAACTAGAAATCTGAGTCTAGATTTTCAAAATACTACAAATTAATTATGTGACTTTGAGAAAAATCGCTTTAGCTCTCTGGGCTTCAGTTTTCTCACTTGCAAAATGGAAGGAAACACTAGATGATTATTAAGTTCTTTCAGCTTTAACTACAAATAGCATAGACATGTCCTTCTTGGTTTGTCCTGTCTCCTGACTCCATGTAATCAATATTTACTGAGCATCTACTTACTCTGTGCAAGATATTGTGCTACATATTGTGAATGGGAATGACAAAGGAGAGCACACAGCCCTTGTCTTCATAATGTATAATCAGTAAGAAAGACATGTACATATGTAACTATAACATGCAACAAGATTTAATAAATTATATGGGTAAGAAGGGCTGAGGAGGCAGTATGCCTTCTAGCTTAAATGATCAAGGGGCATCATGATTAATAGACTTTTCCCTTCTTTCTAGAAAAATAGGTAATATTTGAATGATCTAAAGAAAAGAATACAATGTATAGCATTTATTCCACAGATATTTTTTGAGATCCTACCATGTGCCAGATACTGTTCTATTTTTTAAAGATTTATTTATTGATTGATATAAAATATATAAAATAAAAATATTAAAAAAGATTTATTTATTTATGCATACAAGAACTGGGGTGTTAGCCAGAGATGAAGAGGGTGGGGTGAGAGGATTCACCAGAGAGAGTAGGGAGCAGAACAGGCGGATCTACTGAAATCCACTGCTGAGAGGAGCAGTGGGCGAGTCAGGACAGGTCTGCTGTGCCATGTGGGTTGCTCCCTGGCCGGCTGGGCATCAAACTTGGGCTGCAGTGGCTGGTGATAGCTTGATAGCGCTGTCTTTAACCCCTGCGCCACCAGGGATGCCCCTTGCCTTATATTTTTACATATATTATTTATATTAGCCCATTTAATTTACCATTCTAAGTGATATAATGTTGTTTGTAGACTTATTTACTTGTTCTTTTCATTCAGCATTATGCTTCTAAGATTCATCCATGTTGATGTAAGTAGTTGTAGTTTATTTTCATTGATGTACACTAGCCCAGCCATCTGTTGATTGATTTCCCTGTTGATGAATATTTCGGTTTGTTTCCAGCTTTTTGCCATTATAAACAATGCTGTGCAGAATATTTCTGTACCTGTCTCCTGGGGTATAGGAGCAAGAGTTTCCCTAAGATATATATCTATGTAGCTATAGGTACATATCTGTTCATATCCATGCTGTTCATATCCTACAACCCAGCATTTCCTATATATGGGGTTGTAGGAATCTACAACAATATATGGGGTTGAAAATCTACAACTTTCCTAGATAATGTCAAATTATTCTCCAATTTTTTTAAGATTTATTTATTTATGCATACAAGAACTGGGGTACAGTCAGAGGTGTGGGGGGTGAGAGGACTCACCAGAGACAGAGTGGGAAACAGAACAGGCAGATCGACAGAAACACACTGCTAAGGGGAGCAGTGGGTGAGTCAGGATGGTCTGCTGCACCATGAGGGTAGCTCCCTGGCCAGGAATCGAACTCGTGCTTCATTGGCTGCGGACAGCTTCATAGGTTGCGTCTTAACCCCTTGGGCCACCAGGGAGGCCCCTATTTTCCAATATTTATGGCTACCCAAGTATATGAGTTTCAGTTGTTCTCCTGGCCTTTGGTGTTTAGTGAGTCTGTGGATATGAAGGATATATCATGGCTGTCCAAATTTATATTTGCCTGATATTAATGGGGTTGATCATCTTTTCATATATTTATTGGTCACTCATGTTTCCTCTTCAGTGAAATGCCTATTCATGTCTATCTTTTGCCCACTTGTCTATTGGGTTATTTGTCATCTCCCTATTGATTTTTTTTTTTTTTTTAAGATTTGTTTTTATTTATTTATACAAGCACTGGAACAGTCAGAAGCGCGGGAGGGTGAGAGAATCCACCAGAGCCAGAGCGGGGAGCAGAGCAGGCAGAAGGACCGAAGTACACTGCTGAGGGGAGCAGCGGGCGGCAGGAGAGGTCTGCACGCCATGTGGGACCCTCCTCTGGTGGCCGGGGAGCAGCCGGGGATTGAACCGGCGCTGAAGAGGCTGCTGGCAGCTTTACAACCCAGCGCTCAACCGCTGCGCCACCGGGGAGGCCCTCCCTATTGATTTTTTTTTTAAAGATTTATTTATTTATACAAGCACTGGGTACAGTCAGAAGCGCAGGAGGGTGAGAGAATTCACCAGAGCCAGAGTGGGGAGCAGAGCAGGCAGAAGGACCGAAGTACACTGCTGAGGGGAGCAGCGGGCGGCAGGAGAGGTCTGCGCGCCATGTGGGACCCTCCTCCGGTGACCAGGGAGCAGCCGGGGATCGAACTGGCGCTGCAGAGGCTGCGGGCAGCTTCGCAACCCCGCGCTCAACATCTGCGCCACCGGGGAGGCCCTCCCTATTGATTTTTAGGAATTAACAAATATATAAAAATAACCTAGTACTGGTCTGTTGTTAGTGGCAGCTTCCTACTTCGAGTTTGTAGAGGGGTTGGGATTTTAGCAGAGGCTTAAAGGATGGATGATTTCAGTTCTTCAGAGTCTTCTTTTAGTTGGATTAATTCTTAATTTGTTCATCAAATATTTATTGACTGTCTAGCCAGACATTATGCTTGACATTGAGAATACAAATATATCCATACTTACTCACCGCTTAACACTTTGGACCAAAGTCCAGTTTGGTTCGAACCACTGACATCTCTTGCTGAGCACTACGATAGCCTCCCAGTGCCTAACCTGATTCCAGCCTGGCCTTGCCATAGTCTATTCTGTTTAGATCAGTTCACATAACTTTCAATCTCCTAGTAGTTTTCTAGTACTCATAGAGAAAATCCCCGGGTCAACTATTGTGGGGTCCTCCTGATTCTCTGACATATCATTCTCTGACTCTTCCTGGTAGACATCTTCTGTTTCCACATCCTAGGAACCCCTAAGAGTCTCTACAACCCACGAGCTCTAACCCCTAGGCTGACCTTCCTCTAAAGTTGGTGCTTTACCTGATCACCCTGCATGAATCCAGCCTTTGTTCTACTCCCTCCATTTTCTCCCCACTAAGCAAAAATGAAATCACCATAACACCCCTGTCCCCTGCTCTGTCCTTATTTTTTCAACGCTGCCCGAGGCCCTAGCCCTGCCTTGTGTACTAGATTGGGGGCTCATCCAAAAACAAGGCTCTTTCCCAACATTGCTCCACAGAGGTGAAGACAGGGTTACGGTTCATGAGAGATACTGACGAGTGCTGTCTGCAGCCTGAAGATGCCCAGACATAAAGGACAGAAGCCAGACAGGTGACTACATGTGTGCATTGATGATTACATACAGCCTCTTCGGTATGGGAATAGCAGAAGCCTTGGCAGCCCTGAGAGGACAGGGGAGAGAAAGCCAACACCTCCTTTTGTAGTGAGCTAAAAAAGTTTTTGGAGAGACCCTTTCCCAGCTCATATGTGATGATTGGATGTTCACGCCATGGTGTGAGATGTGCGTCCCTCAAACCTTGTTATGATGCTGGCATATTACCCTTCTGACGTGAAAAAAAGAGACTGTGAAGGCTGGGACAAAAATATGAAGATTTTTTTCAGACCTGGCTGTCTGGGAAGAGTATATCTGGGGAAAGGGAGTTTATAAAGGAGACAGTAATAATCTAGGCATAACACTCTCAGCTCAGGTGGGGACCATGTGGGAGAAAATGGAAGAGCAAGTTGTCTTGAATGCTGATAAATGAGAAATGGTAATGGCATAATAGCTTTGACAATCTGTTTGTTTTGTTGACTGTAGCAGCTGGTTATTGTTTTAATTCTTGGTTGTCAGGTAAAGATACGGGAAGAAGGTGTGAATAATCCAAAGTCGAAAACTCAAACATCATTTCTCAGTGACCAGGAACAAGGTAGCAAATACACATGGCTTCTGTCTTTCAAGCAGAGACCAACCCTCTTATGCAGTGGGTCTTACATGGTTTCTGAGCCTGTGTAGAGTCTTACCACATACTGTCTCTCTTGCCACTTCCGCAGCTGGAGTGCCCTCTTCCTCCTCAGTCCTCCCAAATTCTGCTCTTTATTCTGGCTCACTCCTGCTGTGTTAAACATCCCTGGCTCCACCCTCTTCCCTCCTTCCTCCCCCTTCCCTGGAGCTCTTCCTGGTCTCTATCACCTACAAAACATTCATTGTCTTACTGTCTTTATTGTCCTGTATTTTTCTTTTTCTTTTTAAAAAAGATTTATTTATTTATGCATACAAGAACTGGGGTACAGGCCAGAGGTGTGGTGGGGGAGAGAATTCACCAGAGACAGCAGGGAACAGAATAGGCAGACTGACTGAAATACACTGCTGAGGGGAGCAGTGGGCGAGACAGGAGAGGTCTGCTGCGCCATGTGGGTAGCTCCCTGGCGGATAGCTTCATAGGTTGCATCTTCACCCCTTGTGCCACCAGAGAGGCCCTACTGTCCTGTATTTTTCTACTCTTTCATGTGTGTAAGTGTTGCTCCCTGATTAGAATCTAAGTTTATTAAAGGAAGGAACTTTTTTCTATTTCTCTTCCATTTCCCCTGGTGTCTGTCTATTCATTCAATATACATTTATTCAGTTCTGTGTATCTAAACTATGTCAGGTGCTGGGAATACTAAGAGGAGCTAATGATGTAATGAATTTGATAACTACCTATAAAAGTATTGTGTACATAATGGGCCCTCAATGTGGGTTTGATGGATTGATGAAACATGTTGCTTTTCAAGTAGGCATTCACTGAATGAATGAATGAACAAAAAATGAAAAACAAGCCTCCACCCCCAATTCAACCATTTTGGGTGTACCCCTCCTCTATGAACCTAGTTCTGGCAGGCTTAAGGGTAAAAGACTGGTTTGATGGGAGAAGTGTCTTTAGAGTCATCAAAACAGAGAACCTACTGTTTTTTATTAACTAATTTTTAATTGAAGAAAAACTGCATTATAACATTATAAGTTTCGGGTGTTCCTTATTGGAGAGAGACTCCTTTTCAAGGCAGTGTTCATTCCTTCCTTTAAGGCCTAGTATTTTCAGGCACTGGTAAATATGTCATTTTGCCAATATGTCATTCAGGCTGGTGGGTTATGAGAACTGTGCCTATATAATAATAAAAGTCATTGGACTACTACTTTTGTGCTGACTTCTTTACATGAATTATTGAAATTCTAACAACAAATCACAGAGTACATAAGATTATTGTCAGAAGAGGAAACTGAGGCACAGCTAGTACGCAGAAAAGACAGGACTTGAATCCTGGAAGTTTGATTCCACACTGTACTGTCTCTACAATGAATTGAGAGAGTGGAAAACTGCCATTTGCTTGCTGTGTAACTTGCAGAAATCACTTCAGCTGGGGCCTCTCTAGTGGCATAGGGGTTAAACCTCAGCACTATCACCTCTGCTGCCTGCGTTCTATCCCCGCCAGGGAGCAGATCCACATGGCGCAGCTGACCTCTCCTGTCTCACCTGCTGCTCCCCTCAGCAGGGTGTGTCAGTGGATTCACCTGTTCTGCCCCCTACTCTGTCTCTGGTGAATCCTCTCACACCCCCCACCTCTGGCCTATACCCCAGTTCTTGTATGCATAAATAATAAAATAAATCTTAAAAAAAAATCACTTCAGCGCTGTGGTCCTTAGCCAGTTCTGTCTGGCCTTGTGGCCTAAAGAGCCCAGCCCCAGTCTCAAAGCCTATTTTTTTGAAGTCCTGTGCTCTTCCCACCAGTTTCAACTGCTTAAATCTGGTGGTGATCCCCTAAATATCATATTTTATCTCCTTGTGGGAGATTAAAGGGGCAATGTGTAGTGTTATCATTCATAAGATGGGCATCCTTTTTTTGAGAAGTTATATGAAGACTTTGATGGCTTCATGAAAGACCGGGCCTAGGGGGATATGGAGAGAGCTGCAGGACCGCTGAACGTGATTCCTTCTCATGACTCCACCTATCAACTCCTTAGTGGACAACACTTCACTCTATCCAGGATGCATGGCATCAGGGTCTATTCAAGGCCACAGAGCCTAAACCAGGCTGTGATCAAAAGGCATGCGTGAGTCTAATTAATTTCTGAGTGTGCAGCTTCATTGACTGGGCTGAGAGACTGAGGTCAGGGAATGTGAAAGAACAGGCAAAAGTTGATTTCTCTGAGAAACCTCCACATGAAAACCAAATTCTCCCCAATTCTCCATTTTGTCCTTCATAGCTCCCAGGTTTGCAGACAAAGGATAATTATCTGAACAAGTGTGCACGGTTGGCTGGCATTAGTATTTTAAATTGGTATGCTTAAATAAAAACATGGTTTTTGGTTTGCTGTAATATTATTATTTGGTTCAGCTCTCCCTCTTTAGTCGCTGCTCTTCTTTAGTCCATGCATTAAGGGTAGCCGTGCATTCTGACCAGGGCAGCCTCTGCTGGGGTGTCTGCTGGCATCTCTTCCTGGGGCTTCAGGCAACCTGGCAGGATGGCCCTTATGTTGCTGTCTACACCAGCTTCCTGAGTCTCCAGTTTCATCTTGTCATTTTTGAAAAATCATTTGCATGGTTACCCTGTATGCCTTTTTCAACCTTCTCCATCCCTGCAAAAAAATGCTAGAGACCAAGAAGAAAAATCTCTCTCTCCCTCTCTCTCTCTCTCTCTCTCTCTCTCTCTCTCTCTCTCTCTCTCTCACACACACACACACACACACACACACACAGAGTGGACTTCATCTCCCCTCTGATCATATTCCCCAAAATAGCAAATCAAGACCACTTCTGAAACAAAAAATAACCACAAGAGAGAGAGAGAGAGAGAGAGAGAGAGAGAGAGAGAGAGAGAGAGAGAGAGAGAGGATGAAGCCTTGGGGAGGGGATACATTTGAGGTTACTGCGGGACTGCTTTTCTGGAGCATCTACCGCTGTGCCAAGCTGCAGGCTGTAACTCTGGTTACAGGTTAGAGTTCTAAGTGTAGGTGGGAGGGGAAATTGTCGGGGGCTGATGAGAGAGACAGTCCAGACCACTGAGGGTAGGGATTCAAAGAGAAGTCTTGGTCCCTGCTTTCTTGGGAATCCCCAATATTTGAGGGGACGGGTTGGAGACCTATGGATCAGATGGGTGAAGCAGAGGAGACCAGGGAATAGAAAAGCTTTGTTTACAAACCAACATTCACACAATTGCAAATGAACTCACGCGGGAGCAACCCCCACTAGCTTCAAATGCAGAACAGAATTGGGAAGGGGGTCAACAGCACAGAAGCAGAGTTTAGAGAAAATTTGCAAAGTTTCTTGGAGGGAGCGACGTGTGGGGAGGGGAGCTGGGTTAGGAACCTCAGTGAGGGGCGCTGAGCCGGGGTGTCCTCGCCACCCTCTGGCGGAGGCCCCCGGGGTGAGGTGCACCCCGGCCAGGCCCAGCTCCCCGGGTCCCTCCGCCCGATCCCGCCGCCTCCCACCTCCTCCCTCTTCATCCCCGGGCCCTGCATCGTCACCCCCTGCTCCCGCTCCCCCTTGATAAAATCTCCTGACGTCTCTTCAAATCCAATTATCGAATTAATTGACGTACTAACCGAGAGGCAAACAGATAGGGGCGGCAAACACCCGGGACTCAGATTTATCCTCCGGCCTCCACAGGCCCGGGCCGCCGAGATTTACTGGGCCTGGAACACCGCGGCAGTTCAAACCTTTGATTAATCATGTTTTTCTCCCGGCCCCATAATTTAGTTGCTCTTTTTCCCTCCCTGCCTTTTTTTTTTTTTTTTTTTTTTTTATCAGTGGAAACAGAGACCGAGTCCTCATCAGCTTCAATTACAAATATTAAGCCCCCGGACAGCACTTTGACAGAGAGGCGGCCGGCCCCCCCTCCGGCCCGCCCCCCTAAATCATGCCCGAATTAACATCACAATCGGCGGCTGGCGCTTGTTCAGATTTAAATGGTGGCATATTGTTGGCGGACGGTCTGGTTCAGACCTGCGGGTCGGCGCCCCCCGCCGCAGCCCCGCCGCGCCCCACCGGTCCTCGGGTCCCCCGGGGGCAGCGCCTCGGGAGCGGGGGAGGCGCCGGCGCCGGGTCTGCAGCAGCGGAGGCTGCAGCGGGGGTGCGCCGGCGCGGGGCGAGCGGGCTGGGGCGGGAGGCGTGGGGTGCGGAGGGCAAACCCCGCGGGGGCAGAGGCGCCGCAGACGCGGGGTGGCCCCGGGGAGGGCTGAGGAGGGGCGCGCCATTGGGCTTGCGGGGGGGCGGAGGCGAGGAACAGGTTAATGCCAATAAGATGCAAACCAAGGCTCAGAAGCTGCGGGTTTGGGGAGCCACAGGAAAGCCCCTTGGGGCAAGGTTATGGCCTCCTTGGCCTCTCAGGGCGCGCGGGGCACCCCTGGGTCGCGGCGGGGTGGCCTGGAGAGAGGTTAGAGTCTTAAAGGAAGGACGCGGGGCGAGCTGTCGCCTTTTCCTGAGCATAGCAGAAACGGTTGGCCCTAAACCACAGTCGGGGGGCTTGAAGGCAGACCTCAGGGGGGACTTCTTAAGTGGGGAGACCGGGGTGAGGCTGAAATGCCCCTTGGGAAGGTTTCGGCTTGCAAGACTCTCAAGCAGCCAGCTCCTCCGAAGGCGTTTGGGGAAAAGATGCAACTCTTTGGCTCTGTCCCCCTCAAGTGGGAGAGCAAAGAGAGAGTCATTCCCCTGACCGCATTAAAGAACTCGGGGAGGAGAATGTCAACCCCGGGGAGCGGGTCCAGCTATTCCCGCATCCACCTGTCCAGGCAGCCTCGCCAGCACCTGTCTCCCGGACCCGGTTTCCGCCTAGCAACATCACAACCAATCAGCGTGCAGCGAGGCCCTGCCGCTGGGCTCATCCTTAGCTGGGATTGGCTGCTGGCGTTCTGCGCAGCGCGAGTTTTCATTGGCTGGCGGCCACCTGTATGGAAATGCCAATCCCCGAGCCGCGGCCGGGCCGCGCGGACCTGGACCTGTGGCTCCGGGCGCCGGGACCGCGAGCGGCGAGCGGGGCGAGCTCCTGCGCCGGCCCGGCCCGCTCCTCCTCTCGCCCCGAGAGCGCGCGCAGAGTTTTCCTTTTTCCCTTGGCGCCTCTGCCTAAGGCCTACACGGACAGAAACCCAGCCAAATAACGCAGGAATAATGCGAATTTGTATGCTTTTCGCATCACCGCGTCCTCTCCCTTCAATGTCAAGAGTTTGCCCTTTCCCGCTAACGCCGCCGAAGTCCCTGCCCCTTTCTCTCTCCACGTCCATCCAAGAGGCCACTCCTCACCGTATGGCGTCTCAGCCCCTGCCTCTCGCCTCCCCAAGCCCTTCTAGCTCAGCGCCTCCAGCTCCTGACGAGCCTCTCCCCTCCCTGCAGGAACCAGGCATCTTGCACAGCATCGGTAGCCTGGTTTAGGAGGAAGTTGGAGGGGGAAGAGGACATCCCCCACCCCAACACACACACACACACACACACACACACACACAACTTCCATCTTCGCTCCCCATCCATTTTCTCCGAGGGAGCCGAGTTTGACAGCGAATTCATTCCGAGCGGGGAGGGTGATTTATTCTTCAAATATACCGACAAGTGCGGGCATGATGGAGCCCATTAAAATGTTGGGAGATTGTTTTTATGATTGAAGTCTGTATTACTCCAACCATAAAGAAAGAGAGCAAGGAGTCATTAGCATTTTCATGATGGTGTATTTCTGCTTGTCTCCGCGCCATCACTCATCTTTACTGCCCGTCCCTTTGCTCTCGCTCTGCTACAACGAGGAGAGACTGCAGCCTGAGTTGGGGTTGGGGGTGGGGGGAGGCATGGGCCAGAGATCCCCCCAGCCGCTCTGTCCTTCACGCCAAATCCTCAGCCTCCCTGGGACGCAGATCAGGGGTGAGAGGCCAGATGCAGACCTCCGCGTGCGCCTCAATTTTCTCTTGCTGGCTCCTTGTGAGTGCTGGTGTGGTGGGGACACGGGTTCCTGTCCAAATGGTGCTTGGAAATCCAGGTAGACAGGAGTTGGGAAAGGAGGCGTTCCGCTTCCTGGCCGGTGCACCATTTAGGGTTCTCCCAGGTTATCCACATACTTTGGAGTGGGAGAGTAGGAGAGAGGGTTTGGAGCTGGTTTCAGCAGGAAGTCAGGAACTTGGACATGTGGCTTCTGTCTCTGCTCCTCCAAGTCATTTACAAGACTCTCCAGTTCCCCAAAGACTAAATTCATATGTCCGTGGAAATAATGGAGAGCAAAATAGTCACCGCCAAGACAGGATGGAGGAGGAGGCTGGCTGTGGGTGAAACTGTCTTCAGCTGCCCAAGGATGGTTGGCCTCACCTGTCCTCACCCCCAGCTTCTGCCATAACTCTTAATATAGAGAGACATTCATTCTCAGTCAGGCACAACCTGCCTGCATGTTCTTTGCCTCAAATTGAATGGTGGTGCTAGTTAAGGGGTGGTGAAAAATGGACGTGTTAGCTAGCAAGACGTTAACAATGGCACAGAAACCAAAATCTGTGCCAACAGCTTTTGAGAAAAGAACCAGTTAAATGCAAGGTCACCCGGCAGGAGACTGGAAGCAAGTCTCTTCAGCCAGTCTCCCCAAGGATGGGACTTTGGGCAGCACTTATGGGGTTGAAGAACAAATTCAGAAATTGCAAGTTGGTAGAGTCTCATTGGTTGCTTTCTGCTAAATCATGGTCTAACTTGAATTTGGATTCAGAACTGCAACAGACCGAGCACTCCTTGTTTCTGAGTGTTTTCTCTCTGACCATGAGTGAGGCATCTTAGTTCCACCTTCCATGGCTACTTTCAGTCTAGGCAATGAGATGTCATGTAGAGGATAGCAAACACTCTTCTGGGTCTGCACTCTGAAACATAACTGGTCAGCTTATGAAAGTTTATTTTTTCTTTCTTGCAAGATATGCCCAAATAGCAAATTACCCTCATGACTACCAAACCGTTCATCGACTGACCACTTTCCTGTTGGTCCAGTGCTTTCTCGTTGATGTCTTACTACTCCCTGAAAGGTAGGTTTCACTATTACGATTCCACAGATAAGGAAGCCAAGGGTGAGGTGAGTGTGTGTGTGGTACCAAAGGCCACTAATCTAGTAAACAGAAGAATCAAGATCTGCCTTCATTATCTAATGCCATCTGAGAAGGAATTCAGGATCTCTACAGAGGAAGTCAGTGATGGATTCCATGCACTCCATGGGGGTTCATAAGAAAGTAGAGAAGTCTATCTTGTAAGTGTTTAAAGATTTTGAGAGAAATCTTACCAGGAACCATTTTCCTTTGGCCATTGGATCTAGAGAGTTAGCTAGCAGTTAGCATTGCTGGGACTAATCCCTCTTTAATTCAGGGAACATTTATTGAGCACCTATTGTATGTCATTTTTTGATGAACCACACCCTCCCTCTACCAAGATGGGCAACTCATAGGGCTTTGGGGTCCTAGGCAGGGTTAGACCAGACCCCCCCAGTCAGTTGGGCAGAGGTGGAGCAAAGGGAAGGGTGTAGAGGAGAGAGCCCCCCTACAACCTGCATGGTGCCCAGAGGCGGCTGCAGCAGCGGCCCTAGATTTACAGCTGCCCTGGTGCTGATGCCATAAAAGCAAACGATCCTTCTCTGTACTAATTTCTGTGTAATTAGATCTCTCTTGGCATGGAAAGTGGGGAGTGGGGGTGGCTAGGAGAGGAGGGTGCCAAGGACTCTTTGCAGAGGTAGGAGGAGGGGCTGCAGGACACACATGGCCTCATGAGGGGCAGGGTGGGCACATGGATTTGCATGCACCGTGACAGCTGAAACACGCAATGGTGCACATGTGCATGGCAAGGAGGCAGAAGAGTCCTGCCATGACAACATCCTGTGGCCAGGATGGGGACAGACAAATCTGGGATCCTGCACAAAGGTTTTGAAGTCTGGAGAATAACTCATGGCCTGTCTGTATACATGGAAGATTCTCAAATTCTGGGAGAAGCTGCAAGAGATCCCTCCAGAGGTAGCTAGAGGCCAAAATCTCTCAGAGAGTTCCCAAGGACAAAAAAATTCCTGCAGACCCACCACATCACCAAATTTACAAAATACATGCATACACACTCACTTACATGAAAGCAGAGACACACTTCTCTAATTTAATGCAAACATTTCAGCTTCAGCATCAAATAGAAATGCAATCATGGGGGCCTCCCTGGTGGTGTGAGGGGTTAAGTCTCAGCACTATGAAGCTATCTGCAGCCACTGCAGCATGAGTTCGATCCCCTGCCAGGGAGCTGACCCACAATGGCACAGCAGGCCTCTCCTGTCTCCCCACTACTTCCCTCAGCAGTGTATTTCAGTCAGTCTACCTGTTCTGCTTCCCTCTCTGTCTCTGGTGAATCCTCTCACCCACTGTATCTCTGGCCTGCACCCCAGCTATTATATGCATAAATAAATAAATCTTGGGAAAAAAAAAGAAATGCAACCATGTTTGCTTCCCCTCCCATTGCTTGCCCACTCCTATAGGCAGAAATTAAAGGATGAAAAAAGTCATCCGACCTGTTGCCTCCCCCCACCGACCCCCACCCTCCATGAAAATAATGGAGATCAAAATGGAGAATGATGGATCACCTATGGCAAAGGCAGTTGCTTCAGCAACACCTGGAGCTGGCTTCACACCGAGGAGAGAATGCCCTGCCTCCTCCTTGGGGCTTTCAACATGCTACACATTCCGAGAAACTCTCCTAGTGATGAACTCTACAAATGATCCCTAAAAGTATAGTCTTAAAGTCCTTTTGTAAAAGTAAGTGTCACTTGAAGATACTTGAAGATGGATCCTATTCAACTAGAAAAAAAAAAAAACCTGCAGAAAAAAACAGAAAAATAGAGAGGGAATGATCCTGGGTGTTGCCTTCACTGGGAAGAACAAAGTCTCAGAGGGGAGAAGAATACAGTTGTTATTATTACTGCTCTTCCCATTTCCTCGCCATGATGACAACGGCCATTTGGAACAGCAGAGCTAAGTATTCTTTGTGCATTGGAGCGCATTTGTGGAGGGACCTCTACAAGGCCTCTTACCGACCTCCCTCTGCAGCCTGGCTCTTTACTTCATAAACAGTTTACCCCTGTCACTGGCCAGCTGTGGGGGTTAGAATATTCTTCAGTGGCGTTGAAATCTATCTTCTTTTTAATTTCAGAATATAGTAACTCTAACTACCTGTCATTTCTCCTTGAGTTATTCTAATGTTTTAAGACCAGTTCCATCAAAGCATTAACCATCCCCCCACAGTAGCAATAACAATTAGATACCCATTGGAAAATCAGGAGATTCTGATCTCCAAAGATGACTGTCATGTACTTATCTTAAGTCCTTGTTCTAATGGGTAATTCCTGATTAACCTGAGTAATGAAAATGTATCACAATAAAGAAGGCTTTGTCATGCATGGTTATTACTTCATAGGGCTGTCCTTCCAGATACCTGCCATCACACAGGGTATTTCTATTCCAATAAAACATGATCATGATGTGCTTGGCTAATAAAAAGGAAAAAAATCATGTATTAAAATATGTTTTAAATGATTTGCATGAGTGATAGAAATATCAAGCACCACCACCATCACTGTCAACACCATCCTCAGTTTGCCTTTTGAAACTCCCCACCTGTCCTTGGGGGCAGGAGGCAGATAAAGGAAGGGGGAGGTAGAAAATTAGCACCTATTAAATATTACCAATAGCCCCGTGGGTAGATAGGTAGATATTATTCTGCCCTTACAGGTGAGGAAATTGGGCTCAAAGAAGTTAAGGCCAAAAAGCTAGTAACCTGGCCATCACGATTTTAAGCAGGGTAAATCTGATTGTGAAGTCCTCACTTTTCCCCCCAGACCCAGACGGGTTAATTTCACTTGGATGCCAGCAGAGCCTCTCTGGATGGATCTGCGCTGCTTATGGGACACTGGTCAGGGGTTGGGCTGGCTCAGAGCCCTCCCCCTTCTCAGACAACCAGACTCCCCACCTGGGAGTCAGGAGTTCGTATTGTGGCTTGTGTGTCTTGTCACATAACTGCCTTCCCCCAGGGGTGCCCACCCATAGTGGCAGGCTTCTCTGCATGCACCATCACTGCTGCACAGTGACCCAGGCACCGCGGAGCCACAGTGGACTCACCAGAACTCACGCGGGCGGCGGCACCTGCTCTTCTCCCGGGCGGTGGAGCGCGCGGCCAGCAGGGGTCGCCGGCGCACCAGGAATTACCCCTGGCTGGGCCTGGCTCCTGCTGCCAACACAGGCTTGAACTGTTGCTGTTCCTCTGCGCGGCTCCTAAAATCTCCCGCTAATCCCTCCCCTTCCATGCTTCACCTTCCTACCCCCGAAGCCACCCCCAGGCCCTGCAGATTCTAACGCTGAGCGGTCAGCCCATGATGCAGCACCCCACTCCCCACGCCCAGCCCAGCCCAGAGGCCCGGGATTCTGGCTGCCAGCCCTGTTTTAGCCTGGAGAGCCCACCTTCTGCTTCACCCTTAGGTGACAGGCATGCTCCATGCTTTGCTCCCCCTCTCGTGCCTCCCCAACATCTATTGCTTCTCAGCCTTCTTCACTACACTCAGTCTTGACCACCTTTTAGTCGTTCCAACCTTCGTGTAAGCATTTGTCCCAGACACCCTCAGGCCCCCAGTGTCCTGTAACTCCCTCATCTGGGGAGGGCCTAAGAATGAAGGCGGCAGATATCTTGTGCAGTGATCTGGGCCAATAGTTTTGGATGATAAATCATGGTTTCGGGAGTCCCCATGAGGGCCCAGGTTCCCTGACATACAATAGGAAAAGGGGCCTGTAGGAAAACTGTGGCCACCTTTTGGGAGTGGCATCTCTGCTCTTTTTCTGAGTCTCCCCTCCCCTGCTGTAGCCACAGCACCCCAGCTTTTCCAAACCCCCATCACTCTGCAGCCCCCGCCTCTCAACTCCTGGAGCACGGTGATTGGCGGCTGCCTGCTGCAGGGCAGCTGGGTTTATGACTTTGCGGCAGCTAGGGAGAAAGCAGGGTCAGAGACAGAAAAATGGAAATCGACCGAGAAATTAAGAACAATGAAAGAGTGAAAGAGACAGAGCGAGAGGCAGAACAACCTCAAGAATAACAGATACCAAAAGTCTAACCGAAGAGGGACAGACTGCAGCAGAGATGGCCACAAAGGAAATCAAGAGCTGCTGCTGAGATGAAGACATTGTGAAAAGGATGGGGAAAGGGAGAGGAAAGCACAGACGGAAAAACACTTGGATTAGTCCTGAGAGGAGGGCCGTGCAAGGCTTTCCAGGGCAGTAGGAATTGCTGGTGGTGTGCAGACAGTGGGGCAGATAACTAGGGACCCCCAGAAATTCTAAGTGTCAGAAAAGGCTGGAGGATGTTGCAGTTAATCCAGTTCTCCCTCCTATGCTTCCATTCACCCATTCTGGAGCCTTTTCCACGTCCACACCCTCCTGGAATTTAAGGTTGTTGTAGAAACAGCCTCCTTAACATGACCCATGACCTGTTCGGAAGAGTTCTGCTCATTTCCGTGAAATGGATGGGAAAGTCAAGCCCTGAGGCTTGGGAGGACTCTCTGTCAGGGCTCTGCTTCGCAGAGTGTGCATTAACATGCCAGGCTGTTGGCTGTCGTGGCACCTCCACTGGCACGTACCATGTTTACCTCGCCTCCATTTCTCCGTGGGTCCTTTCTGCTAATATATTAGCTCCTTAACAGCAAGACCTGTGTGTGCTTTTCTCTGTGGCTCCCACAGTGCTTTGTTCTTGTTTATTGAGTGAATCAATGAATGGCCCCTGGAGATGGTTAAACAGAGGCTGGATGACTACCAAGGAGGGGCGCAGCCCAGGGAGCTTCTGAACGAGAAGTCAGAAATGCATCTCTAAGTGCCCTTTTGGCTTTAAGGCTCTGAGTCTATATCTACAAACCTGAGTTTGCTGTTTCTTTTTCCTATTTCTCCAAATATGCAGGGGTAAGACGCAAAGCAGGAAACTCAAAATTACAAAGCACCTGTTGTGTGTCAGGTTCTGTAAAAGGCCAAGGACACATCTGACTCTAGTCATCAGAGTGACTTTTCTTGATTGCTATCATCCAGGTTGTGCATAGCTGAGTGCTCAGAGAGAGGAAGTTTGCTCCAGGTCACATGGTTAGGAAGTTCGACAAATCAGGTGTGGAGGCCCCAAAACCTATGTGAGCACCACAGCAATTTTTCTACTAGTTTGGAAGATTCCCCTGGTTTCAGAAAGGCAAAGAAGGAGTAGAGAAATGGGGGAAATAGAGAAGGCATGGCTTCCAAATTTGGGGTGGGGAGGGAAGTTCTGGACTTAAGGGGGGGATGAGGGCGGGGTAGTGCTTGTTTGGACATTTCTGCTCTCACCTGATTAGCCACCAACCTGGGGAAAGAAAAAAATGTGAGAGACTAGGACTGAGGACCTGAAAACGGGGTGTTAAGCACTGGAATGTCTTGCCATAGGCTATGCTGTTGGGACCATGGGGCAAAGGGGTGTTGTTAGAATGCAGTCATAAGAAAGCCAGGCAGGGCCTCCCTGGTGGCGCAAGGGGTTAAGACATAGCACTATGAAGCTATTCGCAGCCACTGCAGCTGGAGTTCGATCCCTGGCCAGGGAGCTGACCCACATGGCGCAGCAGACCTCTCCTGTCTCCCTGTTGCTCCGCTCAGCAGTGTATTTCAGTCAACCTGCCTGTTCTGTTCCCCACTCTGTCTCTGGCGAATCTTCTCACCCCCCCGCACCTCTGGCCTGTACCCCAGTTCTTGTATGCATAAATAAATAAATCTTAAAAAAAAAAAAAAAAGAAAGTCAGGCGTTTATCTTCCTGCTGGGAGGGATGCTGGGAGTCTAGAGATGTCCAGATTGTGGGGAGTGATTCAGTGACAGGCCTTAAGAAAGTGCTGTGCAATAGGAACAATATAGGTCACACAAGTAATTTTACATTTTTTAGTTGCCACATAACAGCTAATATTTTATTTAACCCAGTGTGTCCAAAATGCTATCCCTTCAATATGCACAATATAAAATTATTATTTTACTTTTTTTTTTTTAGTACTAAGTCTTTGGAATCTATTATGCTTCTTGCATTCATAAAATCTCAATTCTGACAAGCCACATTTTAAGTGTTCAAGAGCTACGCGTGGCTGGTGGCTACCACAGGGGGCAGCGCTGGGCAGGCTCCTGCTTTGAATGGCTTTAGCGTGTGCCTCACACCTGACTGACCTGAAGCAGCAGTATCTGGGATGTTGGGCCTAGACATATCGGGTCCTGCCCTGGATTTTTCGTATGTGGTGACTTAGGACTTTGTTTTGTGTGAGCCTGGAGACAGCCCCAATCCACACGGTCAGAAGAGCTGTATCCACTGCAGGGCTGTGGATTCCAGCTGCACAATAAGCTTCCAGGTGTAACAGTCTCCTCCCGCTCCTCCTGCGGGGTCGCCCGGTGGCTTGCATCTCCTGGCTGGGAACGCAGTGGCTCCAGGAGCCGCTTCCCTGGTCTCGCTGCTGCTCTGCCGCCCCTGCTCTCGCTCCTGACTCCTTCCCTGAGCGGCTTCCTGGCTCTCTGAACGTGCCTCCTCAGTCTTCCCAGGACTCCACATCCGCCAACTTCCCTTCCTGGGATGCTGATGGTCTCCTGAGTTTGGCCGTTGGCCTTCGTACCCTCTCCTTCTACAAGCAGGGAGACTGGGTGAGCTTTCTTCACTCTCACCACCCTGACTTTCAAGGAGCTACCTCCAGCTCCACACTCTTGTACTTAAGCGTCTCTCCAGCTGCCTGCTGGATGTCTCCTTAGAAAACCCCAAAGACATTGGAAATTAAATTGTACTGTCTTTTCCCTCAAATATATTAGTCCATTTGTATTATTTATTCAGCGAAAGGCATCATTGGTTATCTGGTCATTGAAACTAGAAACCCAGGATCAGCTTGACCCCTTCAGTTCACTTCCCATATCTAATTTTCGCCAAGTCCCACTGATTCCGCATCCTAAAGAATTCTCCCCCTTTGGTCTTGACACTGCTGAGATTCAGTGCGCATCACTTTTGCATGGGCTATTACAGTAGGTTCCTAACCAGTTTCTCTGGAAACTGCACCATCTGGCAAACTTGAGGGCAGGCACTCCTACTTGTTTGTTTTTTTTTAAAAAGATTTATTTATTTATTTATGTATACAAGAGCTGGGGTACAGGCCACAGGTGTGGGGGGGGGTGAGAGAATTCACCAGAGACAGAGTGGGGGACAGAACAGGCAGACTGACTGAAATACACTGCTGAGGGGAGCAGTGGGCGAGTCAGGAGAGGTCTGCTGTGTGGGTAGCTCCCTGGCTGGGGATCGAACTCATGCTGCAGTGGCTGTAGCTTCACAGGTTGTGTCTCAAGCCCTTGCACCATCAGGGAGGCCCTCCTACTTGTTTTTGTTCATGCTGTTTCCCAGTGCCTATAAGAGCACCTGGCACATGGTGGGTACTCAACATTTGCTGAGGGACCATATGAGCCAGTTTCAGTAGCCCATCTTTCCAGCCCCACTGCACACACGATATTCACTCTGCAGCCTTAGCTGAGTGTTTATACTTCTGAGCAATTTGTATCTGTGCATTTTGTTTCTTCTGTTTGCACACACTTGGCTCACGGATCTACTCATTCTTTAAGACTCAGCGCCCACATCTTCACTCACAGGAAGTTTCGTCTCCTCCTGTCTTGGTTAACCAACCCCCCCATCTGCCCCCCCCCCCACCCTGTGGTCACACTGCGCATCCTCTAAAGCAGCTCTTCTCCTGCTTTCTTGTATTGTGTATTGACAATTAGCTTTCTGAGGGGAGGGTTTTTGACTGAGCATAAGTGTTGTGATTTAATGCATGAAATATGTCTATCTCAACTGGCATCACGCTCTGTTCTTCCGGTACACAGGCACTTCAGTGGTGCTGGTAACAATCTTTAAAGCTGGAAACTCCAGTAATGTTCACATTACTCTTTACACATATTCTTTTGCATGAAATGCTTTGTTAAAATAATTTAGAGATGATTTCTGGAGGACTGACTTGACTCTACTTTAGGAACTTAAGAGCCTCCCCTCAAGCTGCTTACAGTCAAGAGAGGAAAAATTTGTAAACATGATGTAGTATATATATTTTTAAAGATTTATTTATTTATGCATACAAGAGCTGGGGTACAGGCCAGAGATGCAGGGGGTGAGACGATTCACCAGAGACAGAGTGGGGCACAGACAGGCAGATTGACCAAAATACACTGCTGAGGGGAGCAGTGGGCGAGACAGGAGAGGTCTGCTGCACGATGTGGGTTGCTGTCTGGCAGGCCGGGGATCAAACTTGTGCTGCAGATGCTGAGCATTGCTTCATAGTACAGAGCTTAACCCTTTGCGCCACCAGGGAGGCCCCTGATGTAGTTTATTTTTACAAGAGCTATATGTGGTATCTCAGAGGATAACTAAAGGAAGTCAAGTAAGGCTTCATGAAGGAGGTGTCCTCCAAGCTGAGGAAGAAACATGTGCTCAGAGATATTCAAAAGTAGTCCCATTTCTATGGACTGGTTCAAGAAGTTCAGGGTTCCTTAGACTAGGATGGGAAATACTGGGACCGAGCGGCCACTAAACCATCTGTACTTGATGTTTTCGTAGGTAACAGGAGCTATAGACGTTCAGAAAGCGGGGAGTGATGTTTGGAGCCATTCATCTCACACCAAATACGGACACCTGAGTTCCTGTCTGCTGCTATGTGGTCTTTTTCTTTCACACTGGGGTCTCCAGACCAAGCAAGTCCAACAGCTCCTATGGATGCTGGGAAGCAGTGGGGAGAGCGACGTGACGTTACAGAAGGGAAACAGTAGAAAGGCAGAGTTGCCAAAACAGCCTATGAGCAGGAGAAGGAGCCAGAACTGGAACCCAGCTGTCTTCCCTCCTGGCCCTGCAGTCTGAGCTCCCCTTCCCTGAGCTCCCCATCAGGGTTACGCACTGGATCCTGGGGCAGGAAAATCATGAACAAGAAAGAGAAACAGCTGTAAATTTTGGGGGGACTCCCAGCTTGAAAGTGCAAGCCTGCACGGGCGAAGACGAAACAGGCAGAGGCGGTGCAGCTGAAAGTCTAGATGCTCCCATCAAGGGGTCTACTGAGCAATGGAGGCTTCATGGACAAGGAGTGTGGGGCAGGTTGGGGAGGCGAAGCAGGTCTGGGCTGGGGAGAAAGGAAGGTGAGCCATGGAAAATGTCAGAGGTGGGGAAGAACTTACACTGCTGTCCTCAGACGTGCTTTCAGTGCGGCAGCCTGCGTGTCAACGGCCTTATGTGGCTCTGGAGAGGTGCATGTGGCTTGGCAGGGCTGTGGGTGGGAGCTGGGACTTGTCTCCCTCCCTCTTTTGCCCTAGGGGACACCGTTTGGGAAACCAGGATGTCTGGGTTCCAGATTCTTTCCTCCGCAACCTCCCCCAAACATAAATCACAAGTGATTTCATTAAATGCACCTCCTGCTGGGGATGTTGGCTCATAATTCCTCTCTGATTAACCCCCACTACCCCGGCAACTTTATAGGCCAAGAGAGGGAGGGGACAAGGGGGAGGGGAAAAGGAGGGATGGGGGGAATCCCAGGCGGTGATGGATGTCTCTGTCAGCCCAGCTCGTATTTATTAATAGTCTTAATACGGGAAGCAATAAAGGAAGAGAGGGATTCTATTAATTAAATCATTGTTATAATTAACTTTCATTAAAGGAGATCAATAAAGAGGAGTTGAGATGGAGAGAGGAGAGATCCATTATCTCTAATTTCCTTGGAAGGAATTCAGAGGAGGAGATGGGGTTGCTAGGAGACAGCAACACGGGGGAAGAAGGAAGGATGTAAGATGTCATCCAGGTGGGGCTGGAGGGGGGGGGGCAGCAGGGCTTCAGGGGTGGGGGGGGGGGGCGGGGGGGGGTGGCCAACCAGGGGCCCTGAAGAGAAGAGGGTGGCTGAGAAGGGCTCCTGGGGCAAAGAACAGGCGCGGCTGGCGCAGGGCTGAGAGCCTGGCTGAGCACGCAGGTCCTTACCACATGCTTTACGACGTCGCGTGTGTCTAGCCCGGGAGGCTGCTTAGAGAGGATGAATGTGTTTTTGTGACTGTGGGGTCAGTGTGCACATGGCTGTGAGGATGACGAGAGGGAGGCAGGGGCGGGAGGCACATCCAGCGGTCTTTGGAGGTGCAGGGCTTTAAGGCATTTTTTAGAAGTGGCTACTCGCAGGTGTGCATTCTTGAGAGGAGCCATGCCTGTCTGCGCCAGGGCACAGCGGTAGTGGCTGTGGAGAGCGAAGGTCTGAGTGGTGGGACCCCCGCCCCCCATGTTCCAAGGTATGCACCTGGGTCGGGAACCCTGGATCCCACCTGGGAACTAAACCCCAAGCAGAGCTGATAGAGACCCACCAGTCTGCTCCCTCCTCACCAAGCACCCCTAAGCCAACTGTCCCCGAGACCAGGGGTCCTCCCGGCTCTGCCAGCCCCAGCGGTGGCCAGCACGCGCGGACACACAATGGGAAACACCAGTGGTGGCACCCCACCAGGCAGGGAGGAGCCCCCTGACCCCCTGGCTTCCATCACTGTCTGAGACCAGATGACCAGACGTCTTTGCTCTAGTCACACCTCATGATAAGAACACATTTTATTAGAATAGTTATACATATCATATAAATATATTTGTCTAAACTACAGGCAGGAGAGAGAATATTGAGGGAAGCTCTTATTGCTGTGGGGGGGCCTGGAGAGGGAGGAGGGGCTGGGAAGTAGGGTACCTGGGACGTTTGCTCCCCCTTCCCTCACAGAAGGCACAAATGCGTTGTTTCTTTTCATGTGAGGACACTGGGGGGTGGGGGCAGGCAGGGCAGGGGGTAAGAATGCAGAAAATCTCAAAAATACAAAAGAAACCGCCAAACTTAATATCTAACAGTGAGGAAAAGAGTGGGGGGTGTGGAAGGCAGGGGGCGGGGTCAGAAAGAGAAATCAATGAAGCTCAACTGAAAGAGACCTGAAGAGGCAGGAAGCCCATGGGCTACCTCGATGCAGGCTCCAGAGAAAAGTCAAGTAAACAAACACAGTAAGAGGGTGGGGTGCCCCGGGAATTGGCTTTGGGGCCTTGAGGGGAGCATGAGGGGAGTGTAGAGTGTGTCTGGTGCTGGGCGGTGGTGCGGTGGCTGGTATGAGTGACAGAGCAACCGGGCTGGGAGAGGGTTTCCTTCCTTGGGAAGGCCTCCTCCATCCTGGTTCTGACAAAACCGCTTTCGGGGGGGTAAATTCAGCCACTACTTCCAAAAGGGACCGCTGCCTGTCAGAAGCGCCTGGTAGGGCAGGATGGAGTTGAGAATTTGGGAGGAAAACAGGACCAGGGAACACAGTGTCATGGAGCCCTGTGTGATGGCAGATGGGCATGAGACCTACGTGTATGCCTGTGCATGAGTGAGTGTGTGAGTGTGTGTGTGTGTGTGTGTGTATGTATTTGTGCATATACCAGGGAGAGTGCAATCACTCAAAGGTGAAGGGATCCTGGGTGCTGAAAAAGAAGTGTCCGTCCATGTGGTCCTCCAGGGCATCCTTGTCGCTCTCAGCAGGGAAGCGCTCCTTGCAAATAGGGCACTCCTTCCAGGGGGGGGTGGCGGGGCCTCCAGTGCTGGCCTCTGACAAGGGACCCACTGCGAAGCCACTGATGAGAGAGACGGGGGTAAAGCGGTGTGTCAGCGGGTTCCGATGCCTGTTTGTCGTTACCAAGGAGAGGGAGCCGTGTACCCAGCTCCCAGCTCCCGCTGCTCCTACTGCACAGCCTGGCGGCCTTCTCCCAGCCTCTCCACCCTGCCTTTCCCACCACCCAAGCCTTAGCTTCCCGGCTCCAGCACCCTCGCCCTCTCCCCTTTACTTTCTGCTGGTCGCTGCAGTGCAGAGCCCATCCCCCAACCTCTTGCTCTCCTCCCTCCATCTCCGTCTGCTGCCTAATGAGGCTGAAAATGAGTCTGACATCGCCCTTCATCTTCCTGCTCCAGCCAGGAGGGATGACAGCATCACCCCCTCCCTGCCCTGAGCCCATCTCACGTGCAGGCAAAGATGGGGGCAAGGTGATAAACTCTCTCCACCCTGCCTTCCCCTCTTGGCCTGGGGAAGAGACGGGAGCGCAGAGGGGCATTCTGATACTTAAATCCTCCCGCCCCGAAGCTGCACTGCCCAGAGGTGTCCTCAGGGAAGTGAGAGAAGAGGGCGAGCATCTTGGGTGGCCAGATGGACGCTGGATCCCAGCTTCTCTGTGCCTGCCTCTGGGGGCCTCCGTCACATCCCTTCCTCCCTTGATGGAACTTAGGTACCTACCTGGTGGTTGGGGAAGGGGTAGGGGCAGGTGAGAGGGGATGCAGGGCAATTTGGGCTCCACGGAGGATGGTGCTAGAACAACACAGAAGCCAGTTAAAGGCAGGGCCTCTGAGTACGCATGTGCATTGATAAGATGGGGGAGAAAAAATTACCTGAAGGCAACTGGGGTGTGAAGTGGTGGGTCATTTTCTGAGTCAACCACACCCACATCTCCTTTTCTTGGCTGGGACCAAGAAGAGGGAGGTACGGGGAAGGGCCTGGATGCCCTGTCCTCTGGGGCCCTCCCGCCACCCTCCTGCCCGCCCCCTCTGGCACGCACCTGGCCATGTCGTAGAAGGCATTGCCCAGTTCAGGAAGCAGCAGGTTGGCCTCCTCACCCCCACTCTGCACAGCTGCCATCAGCACGGACTTCTCATCTTCAGCCTCCTGGGCACCAAAGAGACATGGTTGGGTTCTGGGGTGCTATCCCAAGTGGGGGAGCAGCGACTGTGGTAGGTAAGGGAAGAGCAATCTAGGCTGGGACAGTGGAGAGAGGGGCTGGAGTGAGAGTGAAGCAGGAAGCACGTTCTGACAGGAGATGGCAGAGAAGAGAATGACTGTGGGGCAAAGGGGCTAGGAGCAATGAGGCGTCTGCGTCAGCCTGGGTTTTGGGGTGGTATCACTGACAGGAGGCTTTGAGGAGAGGCCTTGAAAAGAAGGTGGGCCCTACTCTCCTCCACGGTAACAGAGCGCTGCTGGCTAAGATCGCCTGCTCTGGAGACTGGGCCAGCTGGGTGAGGCCCTTCTGCCAAGCGCCTCTTCCCGAGCCTGCTCCGTCTCCCCTCACTGCTCACTGAGTCAGAGCTGCTGTCCTCAGCTGGCCCTGAGAGGTGGGGAGCGATGGGAGCCGGCTGGCTGATGACAACGAGGGGAGAAGCCTCTCGTGGCCCGACAGAAGAGGAGCCTGGGTCTCCGCGCTCACACAGGCCGTAGGGCGGGAGCCTCATGTCTTCTGGGCACTCGTCCTCAGAGTCTGTCAGAGCTGCCGGGCAGCCTGTAGGCAAGAGAGTGGGCAAAGAAAAAAAGACTGTTGTCATTAGGTGGCTGGAACAACTCGGACCCCTCTACATGACAGGTGCAATTAAACTAAACGGGCCAGGGTCTGGAAAAAGGCAATTATTTAGAAGGCAGCTCCCAGAGGAGTCAAGTGGGGCTTTCCCCAGGAGGGGGAGGTGAAGCAGGGATGAGGTGTCATGAGATTGGGGTATACAGACTCAGGCCTGCAGTGGCCTCCTCATCCTCCGTGGCAGTGTCCTCATTCCACTTCTCATCTGCCACCTTCTCCAGGCGGGCCTCCAACTTTCTCATGTACTCCAGCAGCTCCTGGAGTTGGGGAGAAAAGGGGTGCGAGAGGTGGGGAAAGTGCCAAGCCTGCCTCCGAGACGAATTCTGAACTCCTTGGGATTAGAGGTCCTCGCGCAGGGTGGGGAAGCCTGAGGTAGACCCCCTTTCTCCCAGGAGCCGCCTTCACCCCTGACAGCCTCCCTTCCAGCAACTCTCTGTCCTACCCCGTCAGCTAACGGTCCTGCTTTTAGCCCCTGGGCCCTCTTAGAGATACCCATCTCTAAGCCAAGAGTTGACAAGGAGATTCAGTTTCTAGCTTTCAAGTCCTCAGCTCTGGCATCAGGGGCCTACACTGGGGCTCTTACCTGCTTCTCCTCCTGCAGCTGCTCCTTCTCCTTCTGGAGCACACGCAGGGCTGACCGCAGCTCTGTCAGCTCCCGCTTACTCTCTGACAGCTGCACCTGTGGGGAAAGGGCCAGATGCAATTCGGAGCCTAGAACGTACCTCTAAGAACCCAGACCTGACATCTAGAACCACATGCCTCCAGGGTCCTCTCTTGTCCGAAACACACACACGGACGCCCCAACACTCTTCTTCCATGAGTCTCGTCTTGGCCACGGGAAAGCCAGTCACCTGAGTCCGAGTGTCTGTCTCTTGAGTACAGACCTGGGCGACTGCCACTGGGCTGGGGTTCAGGGCCTTGGCCACAGCAGCCACTCTAAACTTCCCTCAGTTACCCCGACTAGGCCGAGAATGCATGTGCTGAGCAGAAAGGGACACTGCATGTTTCAAAACAGCAAGAGGTGGAAGGCTTGCAAGTGAGATGCACCTGCTGGAAGCAAGCAGCCAGCACTCTGACCCACAACAGACATGGCTCCGTGGTCTCAGGAGGCTGTGGGAACAGAGCACATGGGTGTCTGGGGCCTCACCAAACTGGAGTCCTTTTCCCGAGCCAGTTCAGTCTTGAACACTTGGTTTTGGGTCCTCTCCTCCTGAACTGCCTTTTCCAGTCGAAGTATCTCTGCACTCAGCTTCAGGATCTTGTCCTTCTCTGCCTGGGAGATGACCAAAAAGGAAATCGGCAGGGTAGAGGCGAAGGACAAGGGGTGCTACTGGCAACAGCACCATCCGTTACAGTGTCCCTTCCTTTATGGAACTGAATTTTGGGGCAGCAATTTCCCCCTCTTGCCTTCCTCATTCCCTTCTCCCCTGTGTGAAGGGAAAAGACAACAATACACCTTGCTGATCGGGAATGGGCATCGTGGCAGGCTGGCAGGGCCTGGTGCCCCGGGTGGTAAACATTTCTGACTTGAGATGTAACCATGATGATGCGCTGGAGACCAGGATTGGGACACTGTGGGTAGGGGTGGGTCACACCTGGACAGTGACACCCCCAAGACCTCTTTCTCTCCTTTCAGGGGATCTGCCTACACAGATCTGGGGGCAGTAGCCAGGAGCCTGTTAGGTTCCTCTATCCCTTTACCTCCATGTTCTGCAGCAGCCCCGCCCGCTCCTTGTTCCACTGGCTCTTTTCTTCCTTCAGGTGCAGACTGAGCTCGGCCAGCCTACCGTTGACTCCTGCCACTTCCAGGCGGCTACGGTGCAGCTCGGCTATGGTGCGGTCCCGTGCTCCTGCGGCACTGGCCAGCTCCTCCCCAAGAAGGGCCGCTTTCTGCTGGCTGGAGGCTGCCAGCTCCTGGGCCCCTCGAAGCTGCTCCTTCAGGGGCTCCAGCTCCGCCTCAAGTGAAAGGAGGAGATCAGAGTTCCCAGGGAAACATTTGTGACCCAGCAGGTAACTAAGCTCCTTCCTCTCCCCACCACATCTGGACTCAGGATTGTGTTGTTTATTCTTTTTTTTTTTTTAAAGGTTTATTCATCTATTTATACAAGAACCGGGGTACAGGCCAGATGCGTGGGAGGGTGAGAGAATTCACCAGAGACAGAGTCGGGAACAGAACAGGCAGACTGACTGAAATACACTGCTGAAGGGAGCAGCGGGCGCGACAGGAGAGATCTGCCGTGCCATGTGGGATCCTCGCCGGCTGGCCGGGGATCAAACCGTGCTGCAGAGGCTGCGGACAGCTTCACAGCGCTGCGCTCAACCGCCTGCACCACCAGGGGAGGCCCAGAATCGTGTTGTTTATTCTTTAGCCATGTTCTCCCCTTCTCTCTGGTCTTTTATACAACCACTCCTTGGAACTTTCTATTTCCTGTTGCCCAGGGGCCTTCACTCACCAGCCGCTGCTGGGTCTGACTTAGGGTGTCCTTCATCTGGGTCACTTTGTCCTTCAGTCGCTGTGCCTGAGCACTCTGTTCCTCCTGCCGGCCTTTGGCTTCCTGCAGTTCCAAATTCAAGCGCCGGTTCTCCTGTTGTGCCATTTGGAGCTCAGCCTGAGGGGTGAAGCATAGACAGAGAAAGGGAGCATGAATCTGGGGTGGCCAGAGAGGTGAGCCATCAAGAGGAGACAGGTCAAGGTGCAGTTCTCAGGTTTCATACCAACTCGAGCCATCAGCTCTTGCCAGCCCTTCTCCGCTCGAAGGGACTCAATACTGAACATCCAGTCTCCAGCTCTGGGAAAGAGGTCTCCAGCTTCACTGCGCGTCCACTCCTGCTTCCCTACTCTTCCTTTTACATTCAAACTCACTTTGAATTTCCTATAGGCCCCTCAAGCTCAGCACATTCTGCCTCCCATCCCATCCTGGCCTTTTCTACTCTTATTTTTGTCCATAACACTAATTACTTTCCATATGCCTCAGGCTGACAATTTGGTGCCAGGCTTAGAGGCCCATAGAAAAATCTGTTGCTTCTCCATCCTCCATCTTGTTCACAGTCATTTTGTCTTTTCTCATTTCTATTATTGCCACAACCACTTTAGCTCAGGCTGGTTACTTCTTGCTTGGACTGATAAATAATCTTATTACTAGCTCATTTTCCACCAGGTGATCATATTAGTTTTCCATAAGTACAGTTCTTTAAGTCCATGTCACCCACTTGAAAATCATCAATGCCTCTCACTGCTTACAGACCAAAGACTAAGATCAAGGTCCTCTTGAATCTGATGTAGGCCTTAAAACTCTTCCCTTCACGAATCCAGCTGCCCAGAGTTCCGCACTTGACAGCTTTGTCACATCTTTTTCTATTCTAGAACGGGCTCTCTTCATTTCTGACCGTCAAATTCTACCTATTTTTTACTGCTGAGCAAATGGCTTTTGAACAATCTTCCACAGATGATTCTGAGGAAGCAAGTTAGAGGAACTGCAAATACTGAAATTACTAAATTGTGTTAAACATTGATGACGACCAATTCATCGGACATGTGTGTCCAAGTTAATTCATTTTTGTACAAAACTCAAAAAAAAGTTTCTGTTATATTTTCTACTGAATTGAAGAACAAGCTGAGGATTACAAGGTGCACAATGCAAAAATTATTATTTGCACCTACTTGTGTGTGACTCAAGGGGTTTTTGATATTGTACAACCAAAACAAAATTTAGAAATACATTAGCTGAGGTCTCCATAACCCCCAGTGTCAAAGTATAGTGTTCGTCAACGTGCTCTAATTGACTTCATCACCTTATAAGTGATGTCACATGTGTGGGTTTCTAAAAATAAACTTATCTAAAAATTATAGTAATGGAATTTTGTTTTTTTTCAATTCAGTGAAGTTCCACATAAGACATAAAACTTCAGCGGAGGCAGGGAAGAAAGGGTTCTACTGCTTAAAAGTCTGAAAATACGAGGCTACTTTATGGCCCCCTTAAGCCTTTCCTAAAGTCCCTAAGATGATGCGCTTCCACCCGCCTCCATGAAGCAACGTAAAGGTCTACTGCACTCCTCTGGTGCCACTATGGTCCACTTCGACTAATCCCGATTTGGGCATTTATCTTCTGTTCCCTAGGAGCATGCACATGTCTTCTTTACACTTATGTTTCCCTTGGTGCCAGCCCTGGGATGGGACTCAATAAAACCTGGAAGGACAGTGGAGACAGCACACCATCTCTGCGGCCCTTACCTCATTCTGCTCCTTGTCTGCTTGCACCTCCTTCAGCTGCCCAAGGAGCTTCTCCTGTTCCCGAGTTAGCACCTTCACTGTGTCTCTCACCCTGTGGGCAGAAGATGGGATGTTAGTGCATCGGCTGCTCATCAGAGAAGGGATAAAGGCTGGGACTAGTATCCCGAGCTCTTCTCTTGGTGGCCCTCCTAGCCAGGCTCTCGCTTGCTTCTCAGGGGCTCAAATCCCTGGCTAAGATGATTCTGCTCTGAGCCCCACATACCTGAGGCTCTCAGCTCTAAAGAGCAAACCAGAAATAAACCTTTTCTCTTCTCTTCATGTATCACTTTAAAGAATGTTCTACTGATGGCTCCCTGGTTGTTTTTACTCAACCAAGAGACCAGAATCCAGTCTTTTTTAGACAGGGGGCAGTCATTATTGATTATAAGCTTCTGATCTAGATCAGAAGTCAGCAAATTTTTCAGCAAGGGGCCTGATAAAAATATTTTTGTATGCAGTGTCTGCAGTACAGATGTGGTCACAGGCATTTTGTAACAGCATGGCTGTTCCAATAAAACTTTATTTATTAGCACTGCCATTTAAATGTCACAAAATATTCTTTTTAGCTTGTTTTTCAACCATTAAAAATAGTCAAAATCATTCTTACCTTGTGGGCTATCTAAAAACAGGTTGGCAGGCTAGATGTGGCATGTGGGCCACCATGTGCTGACCCCCTGGTCTAGACAGCCCCTAGTCTTTTCCAGATGCTCAGTCTGATCCCTGCTTTTCTCATCCATGACTCAGAGTCTAGTATCTCCCTAGGCCAAGACTACCATATCCTGGCTCACAGAAGCCTTAGGGATCAATTCCTTTATTACTCTGGGCCTTGGATAATATCCCTCTTTCCTTTAAAGAGTTAAAATATATATATGAAGCCCACCAACACTGAATGAAAGAAACTTATATTATTTGATGAAAGAAAGAAGTATTAATTCTAGTGAAAAGTTGAAGGCCTAGGCATGGGAGGTGGTCATTATCTGTGCTATCTGGTAGAAGAAAGCAACTTATTCTATGTGACTCCACAGGTTTACGCCAGGACCAAGGGATGAAAATTACAGGCAGGCAGAGACTGGTTCCATACAGGAGAGAGAAAAACAGCTACTGTCCCACACTACAAGGCACTGCCACCCGACTTGGTGATTTTCTCTCTATACCCTCTTAAACACCTTTCATTTCTCCTAATGCTTAGATTCTGTGCCTGATGATATATGATTTATATCTTTCTATGGGGGAGAGATTCCAGGATCACCAGCTCCGAGATGTCCGACTAGTGAGAACAGAGTCTAAGCTTACTCTTTTCTGTGGTAAAATCTGAAATCCACCCTCTCTCCTCTTGCACTGGCTATCCCATCTAGTCTCTTCTTCCAAATCCTCCACCCAACAGCTCCTGCTTGGCTTTTGGTTCATAATAAAAGGTAACGATGGTTATTTCTGAAGGGGAAAAATACAGAATAGGGTTAGGAAAGATGGAAGAGAGCTAGGTAGAAAAAGATATCCCCGTAGGGGCCTCCCCGGTGGCGCAGGTGATTAAGTGCAGTGCTCTGAAGCTGTCTGCAGCCTCTGCAGTGCCAGTTCGATCCCCGCTGACCTTGGAGCAACCCACGTGGTGAGCAGACCTCTCCTGTCTCACCCGCTGCTCCCCTCAGCAGTGTGTTTTGTCAGTCTGCCTGTTCTGTTCCCCACTCTATCTCTGGTGAATCCTCTCACCCTCCCACGCATCTGGCCTGTACCCCGGTTCTTGTATAAATTAAAAAAATAAATCTTTATAAAAAAAAAAGATATCCCAGTAATTGGAATCGTCTGAGAAAAGTTGAGAAGGGAAAGAGAATCAAGTGAGTCAAAGAGCAAGCTTGCCTCCTCAAACAGGAGGGAGTGGGGGGGGGGGTTCCAGGAAATAGAGGAAAGTAGTGGGGGTAAAGGAGGTCGCCGCACCTGTCCAGCTCCACCTCCTTTGTCAGCATTTTCTCACTGATGGTCTGGATGTCGTCTTCCAGCTCCAGGATGCGCGCCACATGGTCTCCCTGTTGCCGGCTGAGGACGTCCCTCTCTTCTGTGAGCTCCCCGTGGGACCGGGAAAGCCCCTGGAATTAAGGTTCCCCCAGAAAAGGAGACACGTTGACACTCATCTCTCAAAGAGTGGAGTAAAGGCTTAGGAGGAGCATACCACAGCTTGACTCTCCTTGCCCCCCACCTTGTCACTTTCCCTGAAAAAGAAACTTAAGGAAACAGTCCCTTATCAGTGAATACGGCCACCTGCACTGGACGCTAGCAGGACTGTGTTCAAAGAACTGAGTCTTACAACGCATTTGGGATGTGTCTCCTGTCCTGTCAAATTTAATGCCACCTGTTACCCCTTAAATAGGTTTAAGTTCTTTGATGCCAGAGCCATCTTAAAAGCCATCAGTTCTTTGATGCCAGAGCCATCTTAAAAGCCCACTAAAGTCTCCCTTTTGAAGCCCTCTTCACTAGGTTCAGTCATTTTGGACTCTGGTTGAGTAGCTGGCTCACGTCCCCTACATGGCCCAACCCCCACCTTGTACTGCTCCACCAGCTCAGCGTGCTCCTCCCGGGTGGTTGCCAGAACCTTCTCGAGCTCCTGTACTTGGCTCCTCAACTCCGTCACCTGCTCCTCCAGCTGCAGTTTCAGCTGCATCAGGTCATTCCTCTCTTGCTGGCTCTCATCCAGCTGGTTCTACAGGGGCAGGATGAGAAGGGGTGTGTGCCTGTGAAGGGTCTATTCTATGCGCCTGTCCCCATCACTCTGCAGATGCATTTTGGGATTGGGAAGTCATATCAGCACAGGTTATAGAGAGGAGGGTTAAGGGGAAGCTTAACCCATCAGCTCCCAGCATTCTTAACTGTCCACCCCTCTCTCACCTTTTCCCACCCTAGGCCGGGTCCCTTCTTCACCCAGCAATTGCAAGAATCCCTCATCTGGAAAAGTCTCTGTCAATCCACATGGATGAACAGGATGACTCCCCCAGTTTTACGCTGTCCCAGAGTCAAAAAGATGTGGGTTTTGATCTCCACATGACTTTAACCAGCTGGGTGACTTTGAACAAGATTCTCTGAATCTCTTCTGCAAGGAGAGCCCTTAGGCTGGTTTATTGTAAGGTAATTGTAATCATAATGAATGTTGAAAGGAATGTGGGGTAGGAGCTTACTTATCTCTGACTTGTGTGTAAGGTAAACACCTTCTTCCTATTCCTGTGTCAATTCCTTGTGTTTAGAGGGTTGTAGAGGGTAGGAGTTTGTCTAAATGACAGTTGAGCTACTCATTTTACTTTCTGAGGCTTCCTTAGGCCTGTCCGCTTGTCTGGGAAATGCACTTCCTCCCTACCTGGCCTTGGACCTCACCTTCCCTTGGAAAGGCTCCTTGCTAACATCTGCCTCCACTCCCTAATTCTTCTTTATGTGGTCTATTTGGTCCAATAGAAAAATAATACAGGGCACATATATAATAAAAAAATTTCTAGTAGTTAAGAAAGTAAAAAAAAAAACCAGGTGAAATTAATTCTAACAATATTTTATCTAGTTCAGTCTATCCAAAAAATTATCACTTCAATGTGTAATAAATATAAAACTACAGAGATCTTTTACTTTTTTTACATTAAGTCTTCAAAATCCAGTGTGTCTTTTATTCACAAAATGCATCTCAATTTGGAAAATATGTCTCAATTCCAGGGCCACCTGTGGCGAGTACCTCCAGGAACAGAGGTGCAGGTCTGTGGCCCCAGCGATCCTCTCTCCCTCGTCCCTTGTGCTGGACGTGGGTCTCACTCTCCCTGTCCTCTAGAGGTACCTTCCCTGGAGTGGCCTCCCTTTACCCTTTGGATCTTTCTCCAGGCCTAGGGCAGCAGCACTCGGAGAAGGCAGGCTCAAAGGGTTCTCATGAGAACTTGAGTTATGTTGGCCTGCGGGTGACTTGCTTTCCTGCCTACATGTGCGTGTCTGTCTACTGCAGACTGAGCTCTTCAGGCCAGATCTGTGACACTCCTAGCAAGGTCTCCAGCTGAGGCTACAGACGAGGAGAGAGTGGCGTGGGCGAGGCTCCTGCAATGCTGTCCTCCCACTCCCTCGCAGGGGCAGCTCCGGCGCTGTTCTCACCTGCAGCACGGTTGCCTTGGGGACCACGAGCAGGATGTCAGAGCCACCGTCCGTCTCTTCCAGTGTCACCAGCTCGTCCATGGGTCTTGGCTCTCGGAACTGGAAAGGGGGGCTCTGCCCACACACGCGGCCCTGGCGGCTCACGTACCTGAACTGGTAGAGCTGGGCTCCCGGCTTGGGCAGGTAGCTGGCTATGGGGAGATGAAGCAGACCCAGGACCCTGATGTGACCCCAAGTCCCCCCTACCCTGAAGGGTCTTTGATCCACTATCTTTGGCTCCAGTCCCCTGATCCCTGCTCCATGTATTGTTTTCTCTCTCCTCCACCTCCCAGAGGCTATTTCTGTTCCCTGGATGACTCCTCTCACCCCTCTCTGCCTAACATTCTCCTTCTCTTTCCTATCCCGACCCTCCTTCTTAGTCACCATCATCCTCATGCCAGTGGCCATTTATTGAATATCCACCATGTACCAGACAAAGTGGTAACACTTTGCCTGTATCATTTTGAATTTTATATTGTACCTATAAGCCAGGCGGCCCCTGTGACTGTGACGATACCAGACACAGGTTAAGTCATTAGCTCAAGGTCAAATAGCTTGTATTAGTGTTGAGACTAGAACCCAGGTCTTTCCCAATCTAATGGCCAACTTCTTCTCAATATATGATGCCACTTTTCCTTCCCTACCCCTCAGCTCCATAAGAGGAGTCCCTCCTTCCTGCAGGAGATAGGTTAATTGTCCGCTACAAGTCCTTCTATCTCTAAAGCTCTGTTTCTGGGATAATTCCTTTATTTGATGTCCGCTGAGCCTTCCAGGATGTTACCTATTTTATTTATTTGCACTCACTTTCCCTTGTCCTCGGTGCCTGACTTTCCTGTCTCTGAGCCCAGTATCTCCCAAGCATCTATCTCCTCCTGGTTTTTGAACTTCTGTACCTTGGAACTGGACACTGGCATGGACAGGGGAGCCATCAGTTGTACTCTCAGGCACTGAAGACCACACAAATGTATGGTAATCCCGAACACAGGCAGCCTCCACCTGTGAAGGCCCAAGGAAGGAGAAGGGAATGTCGATGGAACTACCAGCTCTAGGGGGGGTAGAAGTGGGGTGGTGGTGGTGGTGGCGGGGGTGGGGGGAAGCAGAGGCAAGAGAAAACAGGACAATGCAGGGGCACTAATGTGTCAGGAGAGAGCAAGACTGAGATGGGAGAAGATGAGCTCTGCTTAGAGAGGTGCCCTTTGTCCTCTGGGACATCTCCTTTCTTTCCAAGCAAGAGGCTGAGAATTCAAGAACCCAGTCATTCCTCTGTGCCAACCAACCCGGGGACCATGTGCCTGAGCAAAAGAGGTTCCAAGTATACCTTGAAGATGCCAATCCAGTCACTAGCACTGGGCACGGTGCCTGGGGGAAGGGTGTAGTGACATTCCACCTTGGTGTTGGGGATGTAAGTCCGGGCTACATTTAGAAAGGTGACTCCACCCCGGGATGGTGCCCGGCTTAGTGATGATTCTTCCATCCTGCCCTCGAGATATCTGCCCTCCTATGAAACAAAGGGTTAATATGCCAAAGTCTCTCCACTCCGCCTCTTTGCACCTCCTCCCCAGTCCCACTCCACCTCCACCACACCTGGAGAGGACCGCCTACCTGTTTTTCAGACCCTTTAGAGGTGTCATTCTTAGCCCCTAGTACATTAGTTGGTCTTCTGAGTCAGTCCCCATCCTGTCTCACACTGAACCTCTTCTGAGTCATACACTCTTCCTACAGTTAAGATCACTCTAATTTCCACTTCCTTCTTACTGCCCCATTAACCAAGTCTCAGTATCCCAGCTCTGATCCCTCACTCCTTTCTTTCCCATTCTCTTTACATTTTTTGAGCATTCCAGATTTTTCCGCTTCCATCTCCCCATCCCATGCCCCACATTCTTTGGCTTTGAATTAAAAATCCAACTGAGCTGTGGAGCCCCCTCATTCTGAGCAGTTCTACTTGCCCACTCCTGAGCTTGCTGATCTAGCTGTACCCTGGAAGGACTTATGACACCTGAGTCTTCAGAGCTGGAGTATAGCCCAATACTCAGGTGCCCTCAGCAAGCCGTCCTCACCCCTCTTTGAGCTGTATACCCCCAGGAATAATAAAAAATCTTTCATTCTCAAGTGAGAGAAAAAAGGGAAAGGGAGGCTATAAGGAAAGACAGGTTCTGTCCTCAACTTCATTACTCCAGAGAGTCAAGAATTCTGGAGGCGGCTGCTTCAAGGGTGGAGTGAACACTCAGCAGGAACGTGGTGGTGTGGGGAGATGGAATGCGGGGGCCTTGAGCCAGGAAAGCCCCACCCCTGGGCAGGGTAAAGACTGGACGGTGGGAAGTAAGGGGCCCTAGAAGGAGAAATGTGTGTGTGTGTGTGTGTGTGTATAATGTTGGGAGAAAAGAGTTCAAAAAGAACTTAACACTCTTCTCCTTGGGTCTTGTTTGGAGAAGACCCAGAAACCAACCGCTTTAACTATATGTTATCCCAGCGCTTGTATTCCCCTCCCCATTTTCTCTTGAGGGTTATACTCAAGTCTAAATGCTTGCTCTTCATCAGCTTGGACTAGTAATTGGAGGCATACTATAGGATGGAATTTAGAGGCAGAGGTGTTCCAAGTTAGGTGGGGAGTTAATAGGAAAATATGGGGGTGGGGTGAGGAAAGAAATCCTCCTCCTGGATTGGAAGCAATCCAGCGAACAACTCATCCCAGGGCTGTGAGATGACCCTCTTCGTCTCTGTTCACAGCCCACTAATCTTCAACCTGTGTCAGCTGCAGCTGACAGCGTCCACGAGTCATGTGCATTCCCCCAAACATCACAAACCCAGATCAGACTGAAGTTAAGGGGGGTAGGAACTTTAAAACAGAAACTCAGGAGAGCATATGAGCCAACTCCACAAAAAGGAGACAACTCCTTCCAAAATAGAGACTGACAGGAGATTAAGAAGTTTCTCGGGATTTTCATCTCTCAAAAATCCCTATTTAATAAAACATAATCCATGTCTTCTCCAAAGACAATTCTGGCTTTCGAAGGGGGAGATGAATTGTCCCAAAAAATGCGAGATTGGGGAACGCCAAATACTCTCCACAGATAAAAGCCCTAACAGCTGGAAATATTTCCCAGGCCCAAAGGGAAGCTCTGGGCACCTAAAGTGTATATGTGTAGCCAGAGTGGGAAGAGGGGCCCCACTCCCCTACTCTACAGCACTCTAGAGTCCCTTGACACCCTACACCTTGGAAGGTTTCTGTCCCCAGGGATTCGGCGGCTAGTAAAGGCCTCTGTATTGGCCGGGAGGGGAGCGATAAGGGGAAAGAGGTTTGTGGGGTTTAAGTCTCGCCTGAGAGATAAGGAGCAAGGATTCTATTCTCCCCCAAGTCACTAAGCGTATCAAGCTTCATAGACAAGGGTCGACAGGAAGATGAGGCAGCGAGGGGGCACCCCCTGGTCTGGGCCCCGAGAGACCAAGAACTCCCCAAACAGTGGGGAGCTTCTTCAGTAAAGATAGTGTTAAAACCCAAAGGCCCCGCATACCCCTGCTACAGTTCCTTTAGACTATCCTTTCACAGTCTGGGAAGTGGGGTGGCCCCCCTCACAAAATCGCCCCCAAATTAGGCCAAGTTTCTTACCCCACAGACGGATCAGCTGTTCCCTCACCTTTCACCAACAACAAAAACAGCACTCCGACTGTAGGAGGGGAGGGAGAAGAGTGGGCGCGAGGGCTTCTGGGTTTGTAGTTCCTCGGCGCCCTTTTGACTGCGGATTGGCGCAGACTCGGAACTACATATCCCAGAAAGCCTTGCGCAAGGCGGGCGGAGAGGAGGACGGCCTTGGAGGTGGCCTCTCTACTGCATCCTGGGAGATGTAGTTCACATTGCCATGATAGCAAACGAGGGTGTGGCGGCCAAAGGACTTCATAGCCCATGATGCCTTAGAAAGGGGCAGCCTGGTTAATGGTGACTGCTGGTTTGTAACGTGCGTGGTTGGGGGTGGGGAGGAGTTACGGCTCTAACGACTTTAGTGTAGTTTTTTGCCGGGTAGGGCATGTCTGGGTACGTTCTCCCGTTTACTTTTCAAAACCTGTGGGTTAAGTAGTGTTGTCATTCACACTTTACAGACGAAGAAACTAAACCCCAGAACGGTTGAGGAAGTGGTTTTAAGTGTCAAAGCTGTGAGATGGTAGAAGTCGGCCAGGTTCTCTCTACACCTAGGGCAGTGCCTAGGGCAGTTACTAGCCTTTAGGGGGTGGGAAACCAATCGCTGAGGTAGCAGCTTCTATTTTGCTTCAACCTCAGAGACAGCTCTTGTAAAAACTATGTGTTGTTCACCGCCAACCGTCTTTTTCCTACTTGAGGATTTAAGTGCCAGGGGCCTGCCAATACTCATACACCTGGACTGGGCTCCCTTCCAGTGGCCTCTTGGTCTCAGAAGAGGAAACATTGCCTGAGGTGGTGGTGGTGGTGAGGTGAAGTGAGAAGAATGAGGTTGCAAGGGTAGCCTGGCAAAATTCATGACTGGTCATAGCTCACAAACAAGCCACTTAGAGGCCCCAGCTGACCCAAGCCTTTTAACTGGTTTAAATTCATTAGGATAACAATACATGTTGTTCCTGTATTTATTAAGGAGAGGTGAATGATTTATAGTCCACTCATACTCCAAGTTATGTCAAAGGAGCACCCTTAGTCTTCTCCCTTCTAGGTAATGTGAGACATTTAAAACCTCTCTTCTCCATCTCTGTTATTAAGGGATTATAATCTAAGGATTGATTTGCTCTTCCTAGGTGTCCGCTTTAATTCTCTGCTGCACTTAGTTGTGGAGTGTCTGTCATTTCCAAGTTTTCTGGTAGTATTTTGCTTTTATGACTGAATAGGGTATCTGGTGCCTGCCTATGGGTGCCTTTCATGTGAGGATCTCCAAGCATTTAATAAGTTGCTGGGCTTCACAAATAGTGAGGTGACATGTCTGTGTCATTAGTCAGCATTTATGAGATGGGGAACAAACTGCTGCATGAGGAGAGGTTCAAGGTCTGGGGATGGATTAAAAGTGAGGCTGCTCAAGGACTCAAATTTCAAGTGTTCTTGGAGTATTTTTCCTACCTAGAATAAAAGCCTGTAAGAGAACTCACTCACAGGTGGAGCTAGAGATTACACCAACTTCCATTTATTGGAATGTGTTCTATGTTAAGGATTTTCCCATTTAATACAACAGCCCTATATTGCAGGCCTTTTATTATCCCCATTTCACATATGATGAAGATTGAGGCACAGGCAATTAAGTGACTTACTTGGGAGGTCATCCAAATAGTAAATGATAGAATTGGGATTCAAAGATGAGCAGTCAAGTATACCATACTCCCACCCCAGAAACTTCTGGTATGTGATATTTACTCTCATTGTTCTAAGGAACAGAGCTATTACTTAATCAGGAAATAAATGTTCACTGAGCATTTATAGGCAAGGCACAAGGTGATGTAAAACAGATTGATTCAACAAATATGTATGTCAGGTACTAATCTAGGTATTCAATGAATTTTGTTGGCAGGATGAATTATAAAATATAGATATTGAAGGATGGGTTGAATTTGGATAGTTTGACAGGACAAGGTCTAGGAAATTTATTCCAGATCGAAGTAAAAATTCGGAAATGGGAATGTGTAGTGTTTACTGGAGCCTAGGATATTACACAAGAACAGCACATTAATTTCAATTTCTTTTCAAACTCAGATTAAGGGTAATGACTGTCTGAAATATTGTGTTGAGAAGGATTGTGAGTAAAGAGTGCTGAAATTAATTAGTAATGTCTGCCATATATTCCAGGTGGAAGATGTCAGTGCTAGTAGATTGATTTTTGTTTAAAATTATTTATTCCTCCTTCCCTGCCCAATGCCATGTGACTTGCAGTATCTCTTTTAGAAAGAGTATATATTGGGCCTCCCTGGTGGCAGAAGGGGTTAAGCACAGCACTGTGAAACTATCCACAGCCTCTGAAGCATGAGTTTGATCCCTGGCTGGCCAGGGAGTTACCCACATGGGGCAGTAGACCTCTCCTGTCTTGCCCACTGCTCCCCTCAGCAGTGTATTTCAGTCAGTCTGCCTGTTCTGTTCCCCACTCTGTCTCTGGTAGATCCTCTCACCCCCCACACCTCTGACCCATACCCCAGTTCTTGTACGCATAAATAAATAAATCTTTTTTAAAAAGAAAGTATATATCTTATTTCATTGACTTTGGGCTCAATCATATTTCATATTTTGGCCAATGGATCTGAGAAGATGCGACTCTCACCATGTTTGAACATGTGAGTTCACTTTCTTGTTCTTTGCCACTAGAGTGGGCATATTCCAAAAGAGATGAACGAGAAGGCCCAGGAAGCAGAACTGCAGTCTGCCACAGCCTACATACACATGAGTCAGAAATTAACCTTTGTTGCCATAAGTCACTGAGAGTTCAGGATTGGTTGTTATTGCAACAAAGGTGCTGATAGTTGTACCTGGACAATAGTATCAAGTTTGAGAGGTAATGGTATAAAGTTTGAAAGATGAAGTTTGAAAGGCACATTTAAGCTAGAGAATAGAGACTGTTGATTGGCAGAGGAAGCAGTGTCCTACGTGTTTATTAGGATCTGTTTCCCTTCTTTTTCTTGGACCACAACTGGACCACATTTTTCAGTTTTTCTTTAAATGATGTTTTCCATTTCTGGCCCATGAAACCTCCCAAAGGATATCCTTTCTGTTTTTTCCTTTCTGGCTTGATGCCTTTGACCTTAGGCACAGTGACCTTGAAGTCACTTGTTAAAGATGGTGGAGCAACAGGTTGGAAGGAACCTGGTTCTCTGAATCTACTTGGCAGAGAACTGTCCACTCATCGGAAACATGCATTTTGGACTTCAAGTGACCAATCCATCAATTTTTATCTTATTACACCACTCAAATTTGGGGCTTTATATTTTATGGTAGCTAGTGGTTTCCTAACCACTACAGGTTTGGACTTGATTCCCATCAGGAATGGGAAGTTTGTCACTGATAATTTTTTGAACAAGGGAAATAACATTGTGAAGACAGGTGAAAGTGACAGTTATAGGAACTAAAGAATACTTTTGAGTGAGGTTTTAGGCCTGTTGGTATTTTCAGACTAAGGCTTCTGACTGGAACCAGGATCAGATTGACATGGTCTTTGGAAGATTCTCTGGAGGGTGTGGAAGGCGCTGCTGCAAAGGACTTTCATCTTCTTGAAGCTTAATCTCTTTTCTTTTGCCAACGTCCTAACTCTGATATTGCTTCATACAGCCTGGTATGGGATTCATAGTAAATTTTGAATGGAAGTTGGTTCTGGACTCGTTTAATGCTTTGAGGGGCTATTACTAATTGAGTGCCTATTGTGTAAGACAGCTCTTTCACCCATCAATTTATCACAGCAAATCTGCAAGGTGTTATCCAAATTTTACAGATGAAGAAACTTTCCCCAAGTCTTTCAAGACAATCTGCTTATAAAACCGATACCATTTCCAAAATAACAAGATGCTTTCTCAGAAAATAATAATGGCTGTATTTACTGAGTGCATGCCATGTGCCAGGCACCCTGTTGGGTGCTTTACAAAATAAAAGCAACTAATGTATCAGATATTGAAGTCATTACTAGTGTTTTCAAACACTGGACACTGTGAGAAATAGCTGCCTTAGACTCCTCAGGTGGCCATACCAAACTACAATAGACAGGAATTTATTCCTCACATTTCTGGAGATGGGGAAGTCCATGATCAAGGTGCTGGCTGATTACGTTCTTGAAGAGAATGCTCTTCTTGACTGTAGACAGCTGACTTCTCACTGTGTTTTCACATGGAAGAGAGTGAGAAAAAGCCACTTCTCTGGCCTTTTCTAATAAGGCCACAAATCCCATGATGAGGATTTCACCCTCGTGACCACATCTAACCCTATCACCTCTCAAAGGCCCCATCATCCAATACCATCATAGTGCAGTTTAGGATTTCAAGATATGAATTTTGGGTGGACACATTCAGTGAATAAACAGTAGGAAAAACATTAACATCATTTTAGGGCAAAATCTGGTTCTTTGGGACTTTTCTTTAGGGTTCCTGACTTGTTTTCTTTTGTCCTCATGGTTCTTTGGCTCAGTTCACCTCACAGAAGGGTGTTTTGGGGCTCCAGGTAATATATCAACATGGGGTTTATTTTACAAACAGGGGAGACAAAGAACTTACTGTATCCACAAAATGCGGCTGTCTCACCCAGGTAGCATCAGTGATGGTCGCTGCCGGTCACCAGGAGTGCTGGACAGCACTGGCCAGTAGTGTGGTCACTACAGGTCCCTCAGAGGCAGCGTCAGAGACACCCAGTGTAAACAGCTCTTTGTGAGTTGTCGGGTTATACCGACAAACAGCTCCTTGAGACACCAGGCCCAGGGCCTTTGGTGCTCCTTTCAGGGACTGTCAGAGACAGGACTGGACGCCCAGTGAGTGACAGAGGTCTTCGGCTTTTCTTCCTTTCTTGGAGGTCAGCTGCTAGACGCTTCTTTTCCTCTTTCTTCAGAGGCCAGGAATGGAGTCTTCCCCTTCTTTCTTCCTTCGGAGGCTGGAACCATCTTCTTTCCTTCAGGAGCTAAGGAGCTAAGGACGTCTCTCTCCTTTGGGGGCTGACATCCTCTCTCCCTCAGCTCCCTCCTACCTGGCTTATGTCCTTCTTTGGTGCCCCACCCACAAGTCTGATTGTACCATTTCTCAATCCTGATTGGACCATTTAGCACCAATTAGCTCATAGCTCACACCTGATTGGCCTATTCCACGATCCAGGAAGTACACTGTTACATAAAAGGTCTCTGAGGAGCAACTGCCACATCTGACAAACTGGCAGTTCCTGGGCTCTGAGGAGCAGCTGCCACAACTGACTTGTGGTGGAGCAGCGGGTGAAAGCACACCACTGCTCCTGCCAGCTCCTGCTGGCTCCTGCTGGCTCCCGCTGCGGAGGCGGCTGGGTTCTGGTAACATATTTATTTATTAATTATTATTATTTATAATGTTTTGGTTTGTTTCACAGAAAAAACAAAGATTTTCTTCCATCTGTCTTGTAAGTTTAGATGACACTAAACGCGGATGTTTGAGAGTAAATTTTATTTATAATAAATAATATATGTGCTTTCTTTTCCCCCCCTCACCACCATCCCTTGTGTCCTCTTGTCCCTTTGTCTCCCTCTTAACCTTAGAGCCTCAGGGTGGTTCTTAATGTCCGCTGGTTTTTGAAAGTGTTTTACATTATCGAGTTGTCTGCTAGGTGTTTGTCCAGTATTTTTTTTTACATCATTCTGACTTACTTTGCTGCACATAATTCTCTTAAATTCCCTTCATTTTGTTGAAAATGGCAGCATTTCATCTTTTCTTTTGGCTATATGACACCCCAAGGCGTGGATGTACCACATATTGATCTAATTGTCCATCAATAGATATTTAGGCTGCTTCCACGTTGTAGCTATGAACATTGTGGAATATCTGGGGTTTTTTTGCTAATGGTTTAATATTCTGTGTGTATATGCCCAAGGAAGGGGTTGCTGAGACATACACTATTTCCATTTTCAGTTTTTTTTTAAAGATTTATTTATTTGTGCATATTAGAACTGTGGTACAGGCCAGTGGTGTGGGGGGTGATAGGATTCACCAGAGACAGAGCCGGGAGCAGAACAGGCAGATCTATTGAAATACACTGCTGAGCGGAGCAGCTGCGCCATGTGGGTCAGCTCCCTGGCTGGGGATTGAACTTGTGCTGGTGCGATAGCTTCATAATGCTAAGATTTTAGCCCCTGCGCCACAAGAGAGGCCCTAATTTCATTGATTTTTAGTACAGTCTTTTTGATCTCTATTTCTGCTCTTGTTTTTATTATTTCCTTATTTCTACCGAATTTAGATTTTTTTAAAGGATTTATTTATTTATTTGTTTGTTTATTTATTTATACAAGCACCGGGTACAGTCAGAAGCACAGGAGGGTGAGAGAATTCACCAGAGCCAGAGCCGGGAACAGAACAGGTAGGCTGACGAAATACACTGCTGAGGGGACTAGCGGGCGTGGCAGGAGAGGTCTGTTGTGCCATGTGGGACCCTCGCCAGGTGGCCGGGGATCAAACCAGCGCTGCAGAGGCTGCAGGCAGCTCCGCAGCCCAGTGCTCAACCGCTGCGCCACCAGGGGAGGCCCCGAATTCAGATCTTATTTGTTCCTCTTTTCTCAAGTTGCCGTAGGTGTGATATTATTAGATTATTTATTTGAGATTTTTCTTCTTAATATGGGCTTGTATTGCAATTATCTTTACTCTAACAATAGCTTTTGCCATGTCCCATAGATTCTGGTAGCTTGTATCATCATTTTTGTTCATCTCAAGGTATTTTTTCATTTCTACTTTGATTTTCTCTTTTATCTAACTGCTATTAAACAGCATGCTTTTTAGTCTGCATGTATTCATCATTAGTTCTATTGACAACTGATTTGGGTACCAATCTATTCTTGAAATATTCCAATTGCATTTGAAAAAATGTGCATGCAGCATTTATTTTTGTATACAGCATTTTTTGAGTGAAGTGCTCTGTAGATGTTTATTAGACCTAACTCCTCAGTTAAAGCTATGGTTTCCTTATTTATGCCTGTCTTATTGATCTTTCCAGTGTTATAAGTGGAGTATTAAAGTCCCATAGTATTGTTGTTGTCAATGTTGGAGAGATCTTCAAATGATTCTAATCTGCCCACAAATTCATACATCTATTTGTGTCTCATTTATTCTACCAGAATTCACAAGCACTAACTCCATGAAGCACTCATAAAGATCTCCTTGCTGAGGGGCCTCCCTGGTGGCACAAGGGGTTAAGACGCAACACTATGAAGCAATCTGCTGCCACTGCAGCACAAGTTTGATCTCCAGTCAGGGATGTGACCCACATGGTGCAGCAGACCTCTCGTGACTGGCCTGCTGCTCCCCTCAGCAGTGCATTTCAGTCAATCCGCCTGTTCTATTCCCCACTCTGTCTCTGGTGAATCCTTTCACACACACACCCTCCCACACATCTCGCCTGTACCCCAGTTCTTGTGTGCATAAATAAATCTTAAAAACAAAACTCCTTGCTGAAGAAGAGATTGGAACCTAGCCAACTAAAATGTTGGTGGGGCATAAGGTTACAGGATGATTGATCATGGAAATAATCTTTCTCCCCTCAAGATAATGTTACTCATATAGTTTTCCTTATTTTTATATTCTAGCGAAAAGGCTGAAAATTTTTATACTATTGCAAAATAAACAAAGCTGTGTTGTGATCACAATTTAAGTACTTGATTTCATTCACTTGACCTATTACCTTTCTGGCAGTAGCAAAATACTTCTCCCTGGGAAACTGCGTGGGTGGGCACCTCTCTTATGCTTCCCAGGAATCCTCAGTGGTGTGGGAATGGAGAGGGTTAACCTTGGTGCGTGGGTGAGCAATAAGGAGGCAGCACAGTCATTTTGCTGGGAACTGACTCTCATTTGCTAGAGAGAGTGGAGCAGTGTATAGACTCAAGGAGATACTTACTTATCAGGATATGGGGGTACAGGGAGAGAAGTGGGATATTTAGATTTTCAAGTTATTTTGATATCTGTGGAAGTGTAATCCTTGAAAAGTTAACATTTTAGATTTTTAAACATTTATCACTTAAGTCAATGTGTGCAACAGTCTCCCGTGTCCCACCCTGTATCCGGGGGGAAGGAAGCGTCATGGCTGATCCCAGCTTCCTGCCTTGTGCATCTGAGCTGATGATGGTCTTTCCTTGAGATGTGGATCTTGGCAGAAGGAGCAGGTTTGGGCTGGGTGGGGTTGGAATAATGGGGTTGGAATGGGGGTGGTTGTTCTTCTGTTTCTGGTCATAGGGAGCTTGAAGGACCACAGGCATCCAGAAAGTCATTTCTTGTACTGTGGAGCTCGGCCTTCCTGGTCATTTCTGTAGCTCCAAACTTCTTGCTCTTACAGGAGCAGGTGGAGGGTGGTTTGGAAATTCAGATACTGGGAGAAGCAGAAGCCCCCAATCAAGGATAAAATAGATAAAGTTTTGTGTGTGTGTGTGTGTGTAAATACCACTAGGAGCTGGTTTCGTGATTGCAGAGACAGTAGATATTCCTCTGTGTTGTGTATAACATTTGTAATTATTACACATTAACTAGTGCACATAAAAATGCATGGGGAGGCCTGCCCCCCTTCTCAGCCCCTCTCCTAACTGAGACACCCTCTTCTTTTCCAGTTGCACCTCCCAGCCCCCTAGTTCCTGTTGTATTAGATTGGGCTGGTCACACTCTAAAAGAAATACCTGGCTGACTTCCCTCTTGTCTGTTCAGGGCAACTCCTCTGTGTGCCTGGGTCAGAGTTGTCGGGCGTGGGGGGGAACATCTATTGAGGAGCCAGGAAGGGGGTAGAGATTGGTTTAGTCTGATCTCAGGGGATGGCCTTGTCTGTCTCTATCTGGATCCTTCTTTCTGTCTTTTCCGCTCACAGATTGTGTGGCATTTTGAAGGGAGGAGTGCCTGGGCACCTAGCCCGTTACTTTCCGCCCCAATCTGGCCTTGGGCACAAGCCACATGGTGCTGGCCATCAGCCTGGACTCTTGCCCATCCATTATAGCCTCAGCTGCTAGGCTGGCACAGGTATCAGAGGATCTTCTACTAGGCTCTGCCCTCCCCCAATTCTGTTCCTGGGGCTAAAGTGAAAGAGTGTCAGATGGAGAACGCACACTCGGGGTGGGGAGCCAACACGGACATACATCCCTTGACGGTGAAAGGGACATCTGAGCCTTGAGGAGGGCTGTTGGGGAGTATGTGATAGTCCAGGGAAAAGGATTATCTGGGTGTGTGCTAAGGCTGGTGCGGTGTTGGGAAGAGACAGCAAAGTATTATCAGGAGCGTGAAGGCGTGAGGCCCTAGGAGAACCTCCTCTCTCTCTCCCGCTCTTCCTGCTCTAGGCCTGTAGACGTGTGCATGTTTCCTACTGCGGCCATAGCCCCAGGCGGGAGTGCATGTAGGATATTGACACAGGGGGGGTCTTTAGCTGTGCCCTGGCAGCATGGAAGTGGAGCTGGGGTGAAAGCTGTATGTCAGACATGTGACTGTACCCCTTGAGGGAGGGCTATCTGTGAGACTGCTGTTCGGGCGCAGGAGAAGACACCAGGGCTGAGGCTCGGAGCCTTGCAGTCTCTTGGTATGGACCAATGGTATCTGCTACATGGGGTACGTGGGCGCAGAACTCTTCTGCCTTTTTGACATTCCCCACTAAGCCACTTTGCTTTTATGAACCCCATTAGCACCGGTTTTTGACAACTGAAAGGAATCTGAGGAGGATTTTTGCTTTTACAGAAAAAGGCCAAAAGTAAAAATAGCTTCTTTGCTACACCATTTCAATGTATGGAAGGTTTCCTAGGAAGGTCCTGCTTTTGGGTCTTGGGGAAAACCTGCACCCTATACACAAACACACACACACACACACACACACACACACACACACTGCTGGTGAGAGACAGGCGCTTTCGTTCCTGAGAGCGGAGCCCCGTCCCGGTTCAGGCTGCGTCTGTGCCCGGGAGTGAGGGATGGTTTTGGTGAGCGGACTGTCCCCGGGGAGTGCTGGTCATGCCTCACCTTTACACCCGTGTGAGTTGTATGTTCAAATATGTGAATCCCCTGTGGAGATGTTGGGGGCGGGAAGCCTGAAAAAGATGGAGAATTTATGAGCTGCTTTTGTCGGGAGACAGTCGTAATGAAGAAAATTCAATTTTCTGCAGCTCGGAGAGTCAATATGTTAAATCTCGGAGAAGCTGTAGAGTGACAGCGGAATGGCAAAGTCAATGGGACGTGTGGGGGGGGTGCTGTCTATCTGTGTCTGCAGGGAGGCTGCCTCCTTTCTGTACCCTTGAACTGCAGCTGTGGGACACCAGATACAACCAGATACCCGGGTTCCTGGAACTGAGTTCCCTCTCTCCCTCCTCCATTTTGGTGACCAGCTTCCTTGGCCTCCTGCTTCTGAGGAGAAAGGTTGCACCAGGTCGAGCTACGATTCTATCCTAGTGTCAGCCTAGGAAGTCCCTCTCACAGTCTAGCCAGCACTCCCCCTTGCTGTAGTTACTTATTTCAGAGCTACTTTTTTTTTTTTAAAGATTAATTTTTTTTACAAGACCTGGGGTACAGGGGCAGAGGTGTGGGGGTGGGGGTGAGAGGACTCACCAGAGACAGAGCGGGGAGCAAACAGGCAGACGGACTGAAACACACTGCTGAGGGGAGCAGCCAGCGGGCAAGACAGGAGAGGTCTGCCACACCATGTGGGAATCTCCCTGGCCGGCGGGGAATCGAACCCTCACTGAAGAGCCTTCATAGACAGCTTCACAGCCGGCGCTCTGCCTGCTGCACCGTGCCACTGGGGAAGCCCCACAGCTACTGTTTTCAGCCCACAGCGATTTGTAGGAAAATTTGTTTTTCTTTCTAACTTTTCATTCCGATTCCTTTGACCTACTCCATGCTGGCTTCCTGTTTTCCAGCAGATTTCAAATTTCCCCAGCCAGCCTTTACCGCCTCCCTGCCAGGCTCCTGATCCAGCAGGCAGGAGTGTGGTGGGGGCAAGGTGGTGGGGAGACAGAAGTTGGGGATTCCTCTGTGAGCCACAGTGTCACCAGGAGCCGTGATTAGCCGAGCTGCTGGCTGTGTAATTGGTGTGTGCCCGAGTCCCGGGGGTCTGGTGTGTTAACAGCGGGTCCCTGTGGTGAGTAACGAGATCGTGCCCATGGCTGGTTGCACACACTAATTAATTAGTGCTCCTCTGGTGTCGAGGAATGAGGAGCTGGGGGAAGTGGTGGAGGGGTGTCTCAAAGCCAGAGAGCCCAGCTCTTCGGAGCCCAGGGGTCACAGGAGGTTCTGCCAGAATGGGGGCCTTCAGGCTGGCGTGCAGCATGGGGGTCGGAGCTCTCCAGGCCCTGGCTGAGGGTGTGTGGGGGCACAGAGGTCTGGGCTCTTGGTTGGGGGGGCGGGAGGTGG